ATGACGCTATTGGGCCCAACACTCAGTGGGTGGTTTCAGAAGGCTTCTTTTTGTCTACTATTACTATTTGATCTAATGTGAATTGCAGTAGCTTGGACATAGTTCTCTATACTCAATGCTCAACTTGGGGCAGAACCAACTTTTTTGACAATATACAAATTTTGTAAATCTGCTGCTGTCTATTTGTAATAGCTGTCACTTTGTATTTCAACTTATTGGAGACAGTTGGAAATTGAAAAATATGGTCATTAGCTACCACTTAGTTTGCCCATTGGGGCATGTTGCTAGAGCCATACATGGATGATTTTATGCAGTCTTTCCATTTTGATGTCATCATTTTTGCATCAATATGCATGCTTGACACAGATTAGTAGCCAAAAACTTAGTTCAATGTAAAGTACAAAGTTACCAGAGATTGATACATTAGTTATCTCTATATCAATATCCATTGATTTATCGAAATATGGTTCCATGTACTTTCCATGTGAAAGCTGGTCAAGGAGTTGGTCCTATTTTACCCAACTATGGTTGGACTGTCTGAGGTGACATGGTCTAACATCTATGGACCAGAAAACTGACCTCATCAGATGGCTTTTGTCGCAAAAGACTGCATAGATACAATTCAATATTGGCTTCCTGCTGTATCTTGATTATATCCTAAATACTTTATTGACAGTATGGCCCTAATTTCCAAATTCAGCAGCAAAAATAAGTTCAGGTCTGATTCATCGCTTTCGAAATTATACAGTAGCCAATGAACCCATGCAGTCATCAGTTGGTACATCTTTCCTTACAACTTCTCAATGAGTAGGCCCAAACCTAGCAATCCACTAGTTTCATTTGTAACAACAAGGTTGAGTCTAAAAACATGCTATCAACAATGTTGAACAAAGGATTGTTGCGCTTCGGCGCTGAAAAAAATGTTTCTTATTGCTGTCTTCAGTAAGGCAGGAAGGGATACAAACTTATGAGCCCAAAAGGTCTAGCTCCAAGGGAAGTTGTTTGAAACTTCTATAGATTTATACCACTTTCCCCTGCTCCAGTAGAGTTTTTCTCTATATAAAAGTATACGGGTCAATTTGACCCATGTTAGTAGGGAGAGGAATAGTGAACCTAAACCTGCTCACCCTCATGCACACGTGCAAAATTAAACATTCATTTTTATGCTGAAATCAAGCATTGTATGTGTAGGTAGCATATCTAGAAGCTCAAAACAATTGGTCCAGTGGTTGACCAGTAATTAACTAAAATGTAGCAGTGTCGGGTCAATTTGACCCGCCTTGTAGGGATAGGGTTAAATTGATCAAACATTAATTGAAAAAATTGCTATTTTTTTGCCTAGATTCTATCTAGAATCTAGACTAGATCTAGATCTAGACACTAGATAGTAGATACTATGAAATACCGAAATAGAATAGGCCTAGTCGCCCTAGTGATAGTGCCCTAGTGAAATAGATTTCTAGAATCTAGATCTATTCTAGTCTACAATCTAGCCATATTATTATAGATCTAGTCTAGATCTATATATTTTTAGATCTGGATCTAGAATCTAGATCTCTAGATTATATTCTTTTGAAAAGATTCTTGAATCTTAACAGTACTTTACTACTTAACAGTTAACACTAACAGAGTCTTGTGCTCTTGTGACCTAAATCTAGATTTTTTTTTTCTGAATTTAAATATAAGAAAGTGTTTATTTATTGTTTAAATGAAACAAAAATTATAAATGAAAATACTACCTTTAACTTTAGCCACCTTGATTTCATTTCTTTTCCATTTTGATGGCGTAAGCCTCCTTTTTTTTGCTTTAGATTGAGTATCATCAATTTGCACGTCTTCCCTGTCTGCCATTGTTTTCAGTTTAGAAGATAAAACCATGTGACCCAAATCGAGCAAAATGATTGGATTAGCGAAATTAAGAACTTTTAGCACCGAAACATTGGACTTAATTACTTTTTGTTCACAGAAGTTGGTGTTTCTATTTTTTGGTTTGCTTTAAAGGGGGACTTAGGTACATAATTAAGCTTTTATATTTATACAGGACATCCAGCTTAACCGGAAAGGTAGCAATGGCTATTTAGTTTGATTTTGACAAAAATGTGACTTAAGTACTTTTAGCACTAAGGTCTTCAATTAGCCTATATAAAATATTTATATGATTATATAAGAAAAAATATTTGTATGATTATATTAGAAAAAATATTTATATTATTATATAAGAAAAAATATTTATATGATTATATATGAAAAAAATATTTATATGATTATATAAGAAAAAATATTTATATGAGTATATAAGAAAAAATAATTATATGATTATATAAGAAAAAATAGTTATATTATTATATAAGAAAAAACATTTATATGATTATAAAAGAAAAATATTTATATCATTTATAAGAAAAAAAATTATATGATTATGTAAGAAAACATATTTATATGATTATACAAGAAAAAATATTTATATTATTATATAAGAAAAAATATTTATATGATTTTATTTGAAAAAATATTTATATGATTATATTAAAAAAATATTTATATGAGTATATAAGAAAAAATATATGATTATGTATGAAAAAATAATCATATGATTATATAAGGAAAAATATTGATATTATTATATAAGAAAAAATATTTATATGATTATATAAGAAAAAACAATTATATGATTATATAAGAAAAAATATTTATATTATTATTTAAGAAAAATACTTATATGATTATATAAGAAAAAATATTTATATGATTATGTAAGAAAAAATATTTATATGATTATGTAAGAAACAAAAAGATACTGTAAAAGAAAACTACTTGTGTGGAGAATTTAAAAAATTAATAAAAAGTCTAGTGACAATTTAAGCGCAATTTTCTTAATTAATTTTTTGTGACCAAACGAAAGGATATTTTTGAAAACTTTCTTCGGCAATATTGTTCTAAATTATGGCAGAAATCGATTAGTAAATGTTTCAAGTCGCTAAGTGGTCTGGTTGCCGAGATATGGGCCAAAAACTGCCTTTTTTCGAGGTTTTTTGGCTTTTCCGGGAAATCCAGGAAGGAATTCCGGGAATTTGTTTGGCTCACAATCATCCTCGGAACTTGCTTAACATATTTGCTTTTGGAACTAGTCCTCGATATTGCTTCGTTGTGGAGGAGATACGACTTAAAGCTGCGGACACACATCCATCCATCCATCCATCCATCCATCCATCCATCCATCCATCCATCCATCCAGAAATGACGAGTTAATAATCGCAATTGTCCGCATGGAAATTGCGCTAAAAAGAATAGAAAGGTCGTCCTATTAGTTCCGTGTTAAACGTTGGACTAAAGCTTGAATGTGTGTACACGTCAGTGTCAGGCTACCTGTATGACGTACACACGTCAGTGGCAGGCTACCTGTATGACGTACACACGTCAGTGTCAGGCTACCTGTATGACGTACACACGTCAGTGCCAGGCTACCTGTATGACGTAACACGTCAGTGTCAGGCTACCTGTATGACGTACACACCTCAGTGTCAGGCTACCTGTATGACGTACACACGTCAGTGTCAGGCTACCTGTATGACGTACACACGTCAGTGCCAGGCTACCTGTATGACGTACACACGTCAGTGTCAGGCTACCTGTATGACGTACACACGTCAGTGTCAGGCTACCTTTAGTGACAGCTCAATAAAAATCTAGAGGACCGTCCTACCAATCTTAAGGACCGCCCTACCAATCTTAAGGACCACCCTACCAATCTTAAGGACCGCCCTACCAATCTTAAGGACCGCCTACAAACATTAGACCAGATTGAAACCATGAAGATCCATATTAAAATCAAGAGGATCCCTGTTTTAATACAATAGCTTAGCTACAAACAACACAGTCTTGGCGGAATTAAGGTTTCCGTTCATTTTTTTTGTATCCCATTTTTTCCGGGGAGAAATAGATAGAAATCTCCGAGAGTAATTTCCGAAATTGGCAATCAGGCAGGGGAAGAGGGGGTCTAAAGGGGAACAACTGGCTCTTGTCGTCTGATCAAATGCCTCAATATTTGCTCGACACACTCTCGGGCTGTGGAGTCTGCTGGCGTAGCGCCTCACACTCACAGGGATATAAAAACACACACACAGAGACATAAACACACACATAAAAAAACACATACACACAGACATAAACACACACACAGATAAAAACACACACAAACAGACAAAAATACACACAAACACAGACATAAAAACACACACAGGGATATAAACACACACACAGAGACATAAACACACACACAGATAAAAAAAACACACACACAGACATAAACACACACACAGATAAAAACACACAAAAACAGACAAAAATACACACAAACACAGACATAAACACACACACAGGGATATAAACACACACACAGAGACATAAACACACACACAGATAAAAAAAACACACACACACAGACATAAACACACACAGATAAAAACACACACAAACAGACAAAAATACACACAAACACAGACATAAAAACACACACAAACAGATTTAAAAAACACACACACACACACACACATAAAAACATACGCAAACAGATAAAAACACACACACACATACATAAAAACACACAGACATAGAAAACACATACAAACAGACATAGACACACACAGAGACATAAACACACACAACCCCTGTACAAAAATGTAGCAAGGATTGTGTGACATTAAAGATTAGAGACAATGATTGTTGTGTCCCCAGATTAATGATTGTATGATTGTTGTGTCCCCCAGATTAATGATTGTTGTGTCCCCCAGATTAGTGATTGTTGTGTCCACAGATTAATGATTGTGTGATTGTTGTGTCCTCAGATTAATGATTGTATGATTGTTGTGTCCCCCAGATTAATGATTGTGTGATTGTTGTATCCCCCAGATTAATGATTGTGTGATTGTTGTGTCCTCAGATTAATGATTGTATGATTGTTGTGTCCCAGATCAATGATTGTATGATTGTTGTGTCCTCAGATTCCTGAGGTCGGCATGAACAAGGCGGGATACAACTATCTCTTGGCCACTCTGGTCAGTTCTCTCTTGATGTCATCTAGTGGTGATGTCATGTATCTGATGTCATTTGTATGATGTCTTGTGCTTGCTGTTATTTGTATGATGTCATGTTTTGCTGTCATTTATATGATGTCTTGTGTTTCTTTTGTGTCATCTCAACCATTTGGTACAATTACTATATGACTTAATCTCGTCTGTCCTGCTGACAACCCTCCCTCCCCTCCCTCCCTCCCCTCCCACAGGACTTTAACTCCATGGAGCTGTCACGGTTCCGGCATGGGGGAGTCAACGTCACCGGCTTCCAGCTGTTGGACCCGCTCTCTCAGCTCTACATCAGTCAGGTGAGTCAGGGCGTCAGGTGAGTCAGGGCGTCAGTCAGGTGAGTCAGGGCGTCAGGTGAGTCAGGGCGTCAGTCAGGTGAGTCAGGGCGTCAGGTGAGTCAGGGCGTCAGGTGAGTCAGGGCGTCAGGTGAGTCAGGGCGTCAGGTGAGTCAGGGCGTCAGTCAGGTGAGTCAGGGCGTCAGTCAGGTGAGTCAGGGCGTCAGGTGAGTCAGGGCGTCAGTCAGGTGAGTCAGGGCGTCAGGTGAGTCAGGGCGTCAGTCAGGTGAGTCAGGGCGTCATGTGAGTCAGGGCGTCAGTCAGGTCAGTCAGGGCGTCAGGTGAGTCAGGGCGTCAGTCAGATGAGTCAGGGCGTCAGGTGAGTCAGGGCGTCAGGTGAGTTTGGGAGTCAGGTGAGTTAGGACGTCAGTCTTGTGAGTTTGGAAGTCAGTCAGGTGAGTCAGGGAGTCAGACAGGTAAATGAGTCATTGAGTCAGTCAGGTGAGTCAGTGCGTCAGTCATGTGAGTGAGGTGAGTTAGCGAGCCCCCTCTGCCCCCCTGTACCATGTAGGCCAGCCTTGTGTTGTACCGTGGACAGCAGAATCACGTGACCATCCCCAGGTGCCGGCTGCCCTGGCAGTGGACGGGTTCCAGGTGGTAGAGAGTGCCATCGCCGGTATGCTGGAGACCGACAGCGACGTGTTCCGGTGGAGCTTCAGGCGGGGCGAGCTCTACAACCTCAACAAGACCAGGGGCGTGCCCTGCACCACCAGGCCCCCCCTGCCCTGGATGTTCGGCCCTAGGCTCGTCTCCATGATCAAAAAGGTAGGGGTGGGGGTGGGGTGGACGGTTATGGTGGGGTGAGGTGGGCTGGACGGTTATGGTGGGGTGGGGTAATGTGGGGTGAGGTGGGCTAGACGGTTATGGTGGGGTGGGGTAATGTGGGGTGAGGTGGGCTAGACGGTTATGGTGGGGTGGGGTGAGGTGGGCTGGGGGCGAGGTGAGGTGGGCTTGACTGGGGTATGATGGCCTGGGGTGGGTGTAATGCCTCCGGCTGTTGACAAGTGGTTGGTATTTTACTTCGATGTCTTACTGCAGTCGTACTTGACCTAGGGCATCAGCCTATTGTCATACTTGGGTCATACTTTGGGTCATACTTGGGTCATACTTTGGGTCATACTTGGGGTCATACTTGGGTTATCGAGTCAAAAGTTTGTCTTAGTTGAGGTCATAGTTGTCGGAAATTTTAGTCCATCCGCCCCTCCCTACTCCCCCCCCCCCCCGGAGAAGAAAGTCTGGAAGAAACACTAGCACACTGGATTAGGTCCAGCATTAGGTTTTAGCTCTGCCTAGCCTCTACACCTAAAATCTGGGCCTACAATGAATTTCTTTACTAAACTATTTCAGGCCTGAAATATTTTAGTAATCGGATTGGCTAAATTAGGATATAATTTAATATAAAAAAATATTCGCGCAATTTAGCTTTATTTTAAGTTGGCTGTGAGTAAATGAACCCACTAAATTTGCATGAAATCGTATTACCAGCTGTTGGATATGCTAGTGTATTAGTTACCATGCGGGTGGTACGGGTTCGAAACACATTACGTCGTTGTAATTTATTTCTTTTAATATTTTTTTTCTTTTAATTATTCAAATGAGGTTCAAAAATATTATAGAAAGCCAATTGTAAACATGTGACGTCTTTGTTTCAGCCAATTGTAAACACGTGACGTCTTTGTTTCAGCCAATTGTAAACATGTGACGTCTTTGTTTCAGCCAATTGTAAACATGTGACGTCTTTGTTTCAGCCAATTGTAAACACGTGACGTCTTTGTTTCAGCGGTCCCCCAGCGGCTTCACGGGTAGCTTGACCTTTGACCAGGAGGGTTACAGGGACAACTATAAGCTGGACGTGTTCCTCTCCAACGAGGAGAGGGGCTTACACAAGATAGGTAGGCTGACGTCATAGGGAGGTAGGCTGACGTCAAAGGGAGATAGGCTGACGTCATAGGGAGGTAGGCTGACGTCATAGGGAGGTAGGCTGACGTCATAGGGACGTAGGCTGACGTCATAGGGAGGTAGGCTGACGTCATAGGGAGGTAGGCTGACGTCATAGGGAGGGAGGCTGACGTCATAGGGAGTTGGCGTGGCGATGTCATTGGTAGGTTGTGCCATGACGTCACAGATGATGGCGACACAGGTGTGATGTTTGCAACAGACTAGAAATAAATCCAGGATTGTATAACTACAAGAACATCAAAACTTTTATTTCAACACTAACATCAACACTTTTATTTAAACCCTAACATCAACACTTTTATTTCAACACTAACATCAAAACATCTTCTGATGCAGAATTTCCTAGTATGTTCTTATTAGTGACGTCACGAGAAAGAAAGAATTGAATTTGGGCCAGTCTTGAAGCGCCTGGCATGCCGGATGGTTCTAGAAGACAGATGCAGTTTCCCAGTGTGTCGAGAACACATGTGCCTCCCCTGGGACTCAAGTTTCTTTAATTAAGTGTCGCCAGCATGGGGGGGGGGGGGGGGGTTGCTATAAAATATTTTTAATGTAGGGAGGGGAGGGTGGGGAAGGTACAAGATAAATTGACATTCAATTCTAACGGTTTTATTTCATGAGAATTGCTTGTAAAACTTGGTTAGCATCTGAATAGATTTTCTCGACATACATTAAGTGAACCCAGACATGTTGTAACACCCACGCTACACACAACACACACCACACACACCCACATCACACACACACACACACACCACACATACACACACCACACCACACATACACACCACACATACACACCACACATACACACCACACATCACACACACACACACACACCACACATACACACACCACACCACACATACACACCACACATACACACCACACATACACACCACACATACACACGCCACACACATACCACACATACACACCACACCCACACCACACATACACACCACACACACACCCTCACCACACATACAAACCACACACACACCCTCACTACTCACCCACACCACACACACACCACACACACATCCTCACCACACAACACACACACACCACCCACATCACCCACACACACCCACACACCCACACTTTCACTCTAACACCTAACCTTCGATTGCACACTACAACTTGGCACACATCACCCACCCTTACACATAGGCTACCTCAACACAAACACCATCGCTCACCATCAGTCCAAACACTCTCGTTCGAAGTGTCGTCAACTTTCTCTCCTAAAGCCTTGTGGTCAACTTTCTGTCCTTAACACATGTGGTTAAATTTATCTCCAAAAGCATTGTGGTCAACTTTCTCTCCTAAAGCCTTGTGGTCAACTTTCTTTTCTTAACACATGTGGTTTTATTTATCTCCAAAAGCATTGTGGTCAACTTTCTCTCCTAAAGCCTTGTGGTCAACTTTCTTTTCTTAACACATGTGGTTAAATTTATCTCCAAAAGCATTGTGGTCAACTTTCTCTCCTAAAACCTTGTGGTCAATTTTCTCTCCTAAATCCGTGTAGTCAACTTTCTTTCCTTAACACATGTGGTCAACTTTCTGTCCTTAACACATGTGGTCAACTTTCTCTCCTTAACACATGTGGTCAACTTTCTCTCCTAAATCTGTGTAGTCAACTTTCTGTCCTTAACACATGTAGTCAACTTTCTTTTCTTAACACATGTGGTCAACTTTCTCTCCTTTAGGGACGTGGTCACCTGAAGCCCAGTTTGTGCGAGAATCTGACCCGAGTAAATCCCAGAGCCAAGAAACCAACGACAACTTTAAACACATCAATGGCACCTACATCATCACATCTATAGAGGTAGGCGGGATCAATTGCATGTCATTAGGTGGGCGGAGTCAACGTCAGGTGGGCGGAGTCTAGGTCATAGTCAGGTGGGCGGGGTCAACGCCAAAAATATTTTTTTCTCCGGGGGAGAAACTTTTCGTTCGGGGAGAGGCGGTAGACTTTCTTCGGGGGGGGGGGGGGTCAGATCCTCCCCGGAAGGATGCCTGGAAGAAGCTCTGGCTGGCTCAATGACATGTTGATGTCGCTTTATGTGATTGCCAGTGTCAGAGGATTGAATCAGTGGCGAAACTAGAATAAAACTCGAAAAAAGGGCCACCCCACAAACATTTTTTTTGGACCTGCTATATAATTAGATATATGTATATATATATATATATATATATATATATATATATATATATATATATATATATATATATATATATATATATATATATACATATTTATTTATATATATATCAATATACAAAAGAAAAAAAACCATTTCTTTGTTGTTGTTTTTCAATTAAAACGAATTACATGTTATGTGTGTGAGTGCATTCGTCTGTTTGAAAAATAAAGTTTATTTGTTGGGGCGCTAGTTTGTCCACACTACCACCGAAACGCCTCTTGGGTCGCCCCCCGGCGGAGGCCCCTGATGCAGCGAGACTTATGATTCAAGTGCTACACCTATCCCCCTGTGCAGGACGCCGAATAAGCTGACCCCGGGTGCTAAGATAGCCCCTGGGGATCTCGGGGCGCTCAACTACACATCTATAATAATAGTTTCGCTGTCTGTGTATGTATCTATCTATCTGACAAGAACGCTCTGTCTGACAAGAACGCTCTAGAGAAAACAAAAAATTCTATCTGACAAGAACGCTCTAGAGAAAACACAAGGAATTTAAAAACATGCACAGTATTTCGAAAAACGAAGTATGACGTCGACACATTTAGCACAGAGTAGAAAATAATCTCAAACCCAGAGAGTGCTCACAGTTATATGACGTCATTGATTTTCGCGTTAACATTGAATAAAAAGGAAATGTTGTCTAATCTTAATGGTTTGCGTGTAGAGTTTCTTGCATACAATTCTTCGGGTAGGGGCGAAGCCCCACCCCCCGCGTAAGAACGTCTGAGCCCCCCCCCTCCCCAACTCAAAAGAAATTTCTTCATCGATACTCTATAATAAAATTACCGCCTAATTAATGTGTCTAATCTAAAAAGTGATTTTCTTGCAATTTCTTTAATGCAATTCTTCGGGTAGTGGCTAAGCGCGACACCAGTGTTTCTTTCAGACTTTTTCCTCCCCGGAGAGGGGTGAGGGTACTTGAAATTTTCGGGGGCGGGGGTAGAATTTTCGGGGAGGGGGCGGACACTGGAAAAAGTATATAATTATATTTCGTTGAATGGGACGGTAGACATGTTTTTTTAGGGGGGGGTGGGGGGTGGGGGGGGGGGGGTGGTGTGTGGGGGGGGTGTGTGTGTGGGGGGGGTGGTGTGTGGGGGGGGTGTGTGTGGGGGGGGGGGTGGGGTGGTGGTGTGTGGGGGGGGGGGTGGTGTGTGGGGGGGGGGGTGGTGTGTGGGGGGGTGGGGTGGTTTTCGTTTAGACTTTTTCCTCCCCGGAGAGGGGTGGGGGTACTTGAAATTTTCGGTGGCGGGGGTAGAATTTTCGGAGAGGGGGCGGACACTGGAAAAAGTATATAATTATATTTCGTTGAATGGGACGGTAGACATGTTTTTTTGGGGGGTGGGGGTGGGTGGGTGGGGGTGGGTGGGGGGTGGGGGGTGGGGGGTGGGGGTGGTGTGTGAGGGGGTGGGGGTGGTTGGTGTGTGGGGGGTGGAGGTGTGTGTGGGGGGTGGGGGGTGGGGGTGGTGTGTGTGGGGGGGGTGGGGGTGGGGGTGTGTGTGGGGGGGGGGTGGGATGGTTTTAGTTTAGAGAAAAGAGACAGCACTATCAGCCTAGCGCCCGTTGTACCCTTCCTCAACGGGCCATTTATCTAGTTTTGAAATATTTTTAAACAAATGTTTGGCCTATGACAGAAACTTTTGCGCGAGTGAACTCAACAACTTAGCAAATTTCCCTAATAAACGTTATAAAGAAGCTAAAGTCGTTTTAATATCAGCTAGCTGCCTCTTGCGCGATGGACTTTTTCTTTCTAAAGAATTTTGCCGACAACAGCGTGTGTTTGATTGTAAGAGAAAGAGAAATCGGCTTTCACAGTGAAGGGAAAAGTTGGACGGTGTCTATGGTATAAGATAATCCAACCACAGCTACAGTATTACTTTAACAACACAACCATCAAGTCAAAAATGCAAGAAAATTAATTTTTTTTTAACCTATAAAAATTGATTATGGTCGGCTGTGGGCCCCCCTAAAATGCACACCCCCAACCCGCATTGCGCGGTCTGGCGGCATTGTAGTTCCGCCTCTGGGTTGAATGGTATATCTCTTGTTGGGCGACAAGTGAGGTATGTTTTGTTGAAGTTGAATGTAATTGGCCAACAATATGGCAAAAGGGGTGTAGCAAAAATCTCAACTGACATACGTGACCCTCACACGTGACCCTCTCACACGTTACCCTCTCACACGTTACCCTCTACCCCTCAGATTGAGCCGTTTCTAAAGATCAAAGAAAAATCTGGATCCTCCATAGAGTATGAAGGTACGTCACTCTAAGTAAGTGTACGTCTCACAACTGTATGTGTGTGTTAACCTCACATTTTTGTGTGGTTGTGTGTGTGTGTTAACATCACATTTTTGTGTCGTTATGTGTGTTCACTCACATTTTTTGTGTGGTTGTGTGTGTGTGACGACCCGTTTTTAACCGTTGAGCCCAATTAAGCCTCATTAAGACGGGACACACAAATCGATGAAGGAATGAAAGGAAATGTCGCGATCCAACAATGTCGCCATCCTCCCTAAATGTCTTTTTCTTGTCCAGGCTTCTCGGCCGACCTGGCTCGCGAACTGGCCAAGGAGGTGGGGTTCAACTACAAGTTTAAGATCGTGTCAGATGGGGCGTACGGTAGACTCGAGCACAGCAATAACACGTGGAATGGCATGATAGGCGAGCTCATCTACGGGGTAAGTCATTGTATAGTGTGTGGGGGTAAGTCATTGCTTAGTGTGTGGGGGTGAGTCATTGTATAGTGTGTGGGGGTAAGTCATTGTATAGTGTGTGGGGGTAAGTCATTGTATAGTGTGTGGGGGTAAGTCATTGTATAGTGTGTGGGGGTAAGTCATTGTATAGTGTGTGGGGGTAAGTCATTGTATAGTGTGTGGGGGTAAGTCATTGTATAGTGTGTGGGGGTAAGTCATTGTATAGTGTGTGGGGGTAAGTCATTGTATAGTGTGTGGGGGTAAGTCTTTGTATAGTGTGTGGGGGTAAGTCATTGTATAGTGTGTGGGGGTAAGTCATTGTATAGTGTGTGGGGGTAAGTCATTGTATAGTGTGTGGGGGTAAGTCATTCTATAGTGTGTGGGGGTAAGTCATTGTATAGTGTGTGGGGGTGAATGCTTGCTTAGTCTGTGGGGGTGAGTCCTTGCTTAGTGTGTGGGGGTAAGTCCTTGCATAGTGTGTGGGGGTGAATGCTTGCTTAGTGTGTGGGGGTGAATGCTTGCTTAGTGTGTGGGGGTGAGTGCTTGCATAGTGTGTGGGGGTAAGTCATTGTATAGTGTGTGGGGGTGAATGCTTGCTTAGTCTGTGGGGGTGAGTCCTTGCTTAGTGTATGGGGGTGAATGCTTGCTTAGTGTGTGTGGGTGAGTGCTTGCAGAGTGTGTGGGGGTGAATGCTTGCTTAGTGTGTGGGGGTGAATGCTTGCTTAGTGTGTGGGGGTGAATGCTTGCTTAGTCTGTGGGGGTGAATGCTTGCTTAGTGTGTGGGGGTGAATGCTTGCTTAGTGTGTGGGGGTGAGTCCTTGCTTAGTGTGTGGGGGTGAGTCCTTGCTTAGTGTGTGGGGGTGAATCCTTGCTTAGTGTGTGGGGGTGAATGCTTGCTTAGTGTGTGGGGGTGAATGCTTGCTTAGTGTGTGGGGGTGAATGCTTGCATAGTGTGTGGGGGTGAGTCCTTGCTTAGTGTGGGTGAGTCCTTGCTTAGTGTGTGGGGGTGAATGCTTGCATAGTGTGTGGGGGTGAGTCCTTGCTTAGTGTGTGGGGGTGAGTCCTTGCTTAGTGTGTGGGGGTGAATGCTTGCTTAGTGTGTGGGGGTGAATGCTTGCTTAGTGTGTGGGGGTGAATGCTTGCTTAGTGTGTGGGGGTGAGTCCTTGCTTAGTGTGTGGGGGTGAATGCTTGCTTAGTGTGTGGGGGTGAATGCTTGCTTAGTGTGTGGGGGTGAATGCTTGCTTAGTGTGTGGGGGTGAATGCTTGCTTAGTGTGTGGGGGTGAATGCTTGCTTAGTGTGTGGGGGTGAATGCTTGCTTAGTGTGTGGGGGTGAGTCCTTGCTTAGTGTGTGGGGGTGAATGCTTGCTTAGTGTGTGGGGGTGAATGCTTGCTTAGTGTGTGGGGGTGAGTCCTTGCTTAGTGTGTGGGGGTGAATGCTTGCTTAGTGTGTGGAACTGCAGAACTTGTGTGAGGTATCCAGGACAAAATATTCCAAGCTCCCAGCTGATTGATACAAAATTTTAAGTGAGTTACGACACCCCTTCATCGCATCTCCCCACCCCAACACTACCCTACCCACTACCCCCCTCTGTGTCTCAGGTAGCTGACCTGGCCATCCCCCCCTCCATGTCTCAGGTAGCTGACCTGGCCATCCCCCCCTCCATGTCTCAGGTAGCCGACCTTGTCATCCCCCCCTCTATGTCTCAGGTAGCTGACCTTGCCATCCCCCCCCCACTCCATGTCTCAGTTAGCTGACCTTGCCATCCCCCCCTCCATGTCTCAGGTAGCCGACCTTGTCATCCCCCCCCCCCCCTCTATGTCTCAGGTAGCTGACCTTGTCATCCCCCCCCACTCCAAGTCTCAGGTAGCTGACCTTGCCATCTCCCCCCCTTCCATGTCTCAGGTAGCTGACCTTGCCATCTCCCCCCCTTCCATGTCTCAGGTAGCTGACCTTGTTATCTCCCCCCCTTCCATGTCTCAGGTAGCTGACCTTGTCATCCCCCCCCACTCCAAGTCTCAGGTAGCTGACCTTGCCATCTCCCCCCCCCCCCTTCCATGTCTCAGGTAGCTGACCTTGCCATCCCCCCCCCCCACTCCGTCTCAGGTAGCTGACCTAGCCATCTCCCCCCCCCCCCCCACTCCATGTCTCAGGTAGCTGACCTTGCCATCTCCCCCCCCCCTCCATGTCTCAGGTAGCTGACCTTGCCATCTCCCCCCCCATGTCTCAGGTAGCTGACCTTGCCATCTCCCCCCCCCCCCTCCATGTCTCAGGTAGCTGACCTTGCCATCTCCCCCCCCCCTCCATGTCTCAGGTAGCTGACCTTGCCATCTCCCCCCCCCACTCCATGTCTCAGGTAGCTGACCTTGCCATCTCCCCCCCCCCCCCACTCCATGTCTCAGGTAGCTGACCTTGACATCTCCCCCCCCCCACTCCATGTCTCAGGTAGCTGACCTTGCCATCGCCCCACTGACCATCACAGCCGAGAGAGAACGCTACGTGGATTTCTCCAAGCATTTCATGGAGATCGGCGTCACCATCATGATCAAGAAACCTCAGAGTCAGCGGCCTGGCGTCTTCTCCTTCATGGAGCCACTGTCTATAGAGGTATCTGGGCCACTGTCTATAGAGGTATCTGGGCCACTGTCTATAGAGGTATCTGGCCACTGTCTATAGAGGTATCTGGGCCACTGTCTATAGAGGTATCTGGGCCACTGTCTATAGAGGTATCTGGGCCACTGTCTATAGAGGTATCTGGGCCACTGTCTATAGAGGTATCTGGGCCACTGTCTATAGAGGTATCTGGGCCACTGTCTATAGAGGTATCTGGGCCACTGTCTATAGGGGTATCTGGGCCACTGTCTATAGAGGTATCTGGGCCACTGTCTATAGGGGTATCTGGGCCACTGTCTATAGAGGTATCTGGGCCACTGTCTATAGGGGTATCTGGGCCACTGTCTATAGAGGTATCTGGGCCACTGTCTATAGAGGTATCTGGGCCACTGTCTATAGAGGTATCTGGGCCACTGTCTATAGAGGTATCTGGGCCACTGTCTATAGGGGTATCTGGGCCACTGTCTATAGAGGTATCTGGGCCACTGTCTATAGAGGTATCTGGCCACTGTCTATAGAGGTATCTGGGCCACTGTCTATAGAGGTATCTGGGCCACTGTCTATAGAGGTATCTGGGCCACTGTCTATAGAGGTATCTGGGCCACTGTCTATAGAGGTATCTGGGCCACTGTCTATAGAGGTATCTGGGCCACTGTCTATAGAGGTATCTGGGCCACTGTCTATAGAGGTATCTGGGCCACTGTCTATAGAGGTATCTGGGCCACTGTCTATAGAGGTATCTGGGCCACTGTCTATAGAGGTATTTGGGCCACTGTCTATAGAGGTATCTGGGCCACTGTCTATAGGGGTATCTGGGCCACTGTCTATAGAGGTATCTGGGCCACTGTCTATAGGGGTATCTGGGCCACTGTCTATAGAGGTATCTGGGCCACTGTCTATAGGGGTATCTGGGCCACTGTCTATAGAGGTATCTGGGCCACTGTCTATAGAGGTATCTGGGCCACTGTCTATAGAGGTATCTGGGCCACTGTCTATAGAGGTATCTGGGCCACTGTCTATAGGGGTATCTGGGCCACTGTCTATAGAGGTATCTGGGCCACTGTCTATAGAGGTATCTGGGCCACTGTCTATAGAGGTATCTGGGCCACTGTCTATAGAGGTATCTGGGCCACTGTCTATAGGGGTATCTGGGCCACTGTCTATAGAGGTATCTGGGCCACTGTCTATAGAGGTATCTGGGCCACTGTCTATAGAGGTATCTGGGCCACTGTCTATAGAGGTATCTGGGCCACTGTCTATAGAGGTATCTGGGCCACTGTCTATAGAGGTATCTGGGCCACTGTCTATAGAGGTATCTGGGCCACTGTCTATAGAGGTATCTGGGCCACTGTCTATAGAGGTATCTGGGCCACTGTCTATAGAGGTATCTGGGCCACTGTCTATAGAGGTATCTGGGCCACTGTCTATAGAGGTATCTGGGCCACTGTCTATAGAGGTATACTTTATGTCTAAAAATGTAGACAGATGTTCTGTAGAACAACCAAATAAAATCATTAACGCTGCCGTAAAAATAGACAGTCGATTTTGTGTTGTAACACCACTTTCACACATGTATACTAAACATATCTAGAAAAAAAAGTAGCAACTAGTATATAAACATGTTCTGCGGGGAGAAATATTAGCTGTTGCGTGAGTTTTTTGTCTCGAGACATGCAGTGTGGCAAGTGTAAACGCGGTGTAAGGGAGGCAACAAATACATTATAAGTGTGCGCCAAGATTAGCTCCCTTAAAAGATTTTTTGTTCCTACCGAATACCAAACACACTATGTGGATGTCTTACAGGTGTAGCTATCTAATTGGTGTCTTTATGACTTACATGTGTCTCTATGACTTACAGGTGTCTCTATGACTTACAGATGTCTCTATGACTTATAGGTGTCTCTATGACTTAATGGTGTCTCTATGACTTACAGATGTGTCTTTATGACTTACAGGTGTCTTTATGACTTACAGGTGTCTCTATGACTTACAGGTGTCTCTATGACTTACAGCTGTTTCTATGACTTATAGGTGTCTCTATGACTTAATGGTGTCTCTATGACTTACAGGTGTCTCTATGACTTATAGGTGTCTCTATGACTTACAGGTGTCTCTATGACTTATAGGTGTCTCTATGACTTAATGGTGTCTCTATGACTTACAGGTGTCTATGACTTACAGGTGTGTCTATGACTTACAGGTGTGGCTGTGCATCATCATCGCCTACCTGACGGTCAGCATCGGCCTGTTCCTGGTGTCCAGGTTTAGTCCAGTGGAGTGGAAGAAGGTCAAGGATGGTCAGCATGTCGACTGGTCCAAGGTCCGCAAGGAATCCGACGGCGTCTACCACAACGACTTTTCTCTCTTCAACTCATTTTGGTTCTCCATGGGGGCGCTCATGTTCCAGGGGAGCGACAGCTGCCCCAGGTGGGTGCCAGTTTCATTACATGGGGGGGGGGCGACAGCTGTCCCAGGTGGGTGCCAGTTTCATTAATTGGGGGGGAGGGGTTGACAGGTGTGTGAGTAGAACTAATGACGTCACTTGTTTCAGGTCAATCTCTGGACGTATTATCGGCGGGGCCTGGTGGTTTTTTGTCCTGATCCTCATCTCCTCCTACACGGCCAACCTGGCAGCTTTCTTGACCATCGAGAGGATGGTTAGCCCCATCGAGTCAGTCGATGACCTCGTCAACCATCCAACCATCAAATATGGCGCCGTGGCTTCCGGTGCTACGCTGCAATTTTTTGCTGTAGGTTCAACATGTTGAACTGTTGATGTTGTCATGTTGAACTGTTGATGTTGTCATGTTGAACTGTTGATGTTCTCTTGTTGAACTGTTGATGTTGTCATGTTGAACTGTTGATGTTGTCATGTTGAACTGTTGATGTTCTCATGTTGTTGTTCTCATGTTGATGTTGTCATGTTGAACTGTTGATGTTGTCATGTTGATGTTGTCATGTTTAACTGTTGATGTTGTCATGTTGAACTGTTGATGTTGTCATGTTGATGTTGTCATGTTTAACTGTTGATGTTGTCATTTTGAACTGTCGATGTTGTCATGTTAAACTGTTGATGTTCTCTTGTTGAACTGTTGATGTTGTCATGTTGAACTGTTGATGTTATCATGTTGAACTGTTGATGTTGTCATGTTGAACTGTTGATGTCGTCATGTTGAACTGTTGATGTTGTCATGTTGAACTGTTGATGTTGTCATGTTGAACCTTTGATTTTGTCATGTTGAACTGTTGATGTTGTCATGTTGAACTGTTGATGTTCTCATGTTGATGTTTTCACGTTGATGTTGTCATGTTGAACTGTTGATGTTGTCATGTTGATGTTGTCATGTTTAACTGTTGATGTTCTCATGTTGATGTTCTCATGTTGATGTTGTCATGTTGATGTTGTCATGTTTAACTGTTGATGTTCTCATGTTGAACTGTTGATGTTGTCATGTTGAACTGTTGATGTTGTCATGTTGAACTGTTGATGTTGTCATGTTAAACTGTTGATGTTGTCATGTTGAGCCGTTGATGTTGTCATGTTGAACTGTTGATGTTGTTATGTTGATTTTCTCATGTTGAACTGTTGATGTTGTCATGTTGATGTTCTCATGTTGATGTTGTCATATTGAACTGTTGATGTTCTCATGTTGATGTTGTCATGTTGAACTGTTGATGTTCTCATGTTGAACTGTTGATGTTGTCATGTTGAACTGTTGATGTTGTCATGTTGATGTAGTCATGTTGAACTGTTGATGTTGTCATGTTGAACTAGTGATGTTGTCGTGTTGATGTAGTCATGTTGAACTGTTGATGTTGTCATGTTGATGTTGTCATGTTGAACTGTTGATGTTGTCATGTTGAACTGTTGATGTTGTCATGTTGATGTTCTCATGTTGAACTGTTGATGTAGTCATGTTGATGTTCTCATGTTGAACTGTTGATGTTGTCATTTTGAACTGTTGATGTTGTCATGTTGAACTGTTGATGTTCTCATGTTGATGTTCTCATGTTGATGTTGTCAAGTTGAACTGTTGATGATGTCATGTTGAACTGTTGATATTCTCATGTTGAACTATTGATGTTCTCATGTTGATGTTGTCATGTTGATGTTGTCATGTTGAACTGTTGATGTTGTCATGTTGAACTGTTGATGTTCTCTTGTTGAACTGTTGATGTTGTCATGTTGAACTGTTGATGTTGTCATGTTGAACTGTTGATGTTCTCATGTTGTTGTTCTCATGTTGATGTTGTCATGTTGAACTGTTGATGTTGTCATGTTGATGTTGTCATGTTTAACTGTTGATGTTGTCATGTTGAACTGTTGATGTTGTCATGTTGATGTTGTCATGTTTAACTGTTGATGTTGTCATTTTGAACTGTCGATGTTGTCATGTTAAACTGTTGATGTTCTCTTGTTGAACTGTTGATGTTGTCATGTTGAACTGTTGATGTTATCATGTTGAACTGTTGATGTTGTCATGTTGAACTGTTGATGTCGTCATGTTGAACTGTTGATGTTGTCATGTTGAACTGTTGATGTTGTCATGTTGAACCTTTGATTTTGTCATGTTGAACTGTTGATGTTGTCATGTTGAACTGTTGATGTTCTCATGTTGATGTTTTCACGTTGATGTTGTCATGTTGAACTGTTGATGTTGTCATGTTGATGTTGTCATGTTTAACTGTTGATGTTCTCATGTTGATGTTCTCATGTTGATGTTGTCATGTTGATGTTGTCATGTTTAACTGTTGATGTTCTCATGTTGAACTGTTGATGTTGTCATGTTGAACTGTTGATGTTGTCATGTTGAACTGTTGATGTTGTCATGTTAAACTGTTGATGTTGTCATGTTGAGCCGTTGATGTTGTCATGTTGAACTGTTGATGTTGTTATGTTGATTTTCTCATGTTGAACTGTTGATGTTGTCATGTTGATGTTCTCATGTTGATGTTGTCATATTGAACTGTTGATGTTCTCATGTTGATGTTGTCATGTTGAACTGTTGATGTTCTCATGTTGAACTGTTGATGTTGTCATGTTGAACTGTTGATGTTGTCATGTTGATGTAGTCATGTTGAACTGTTGATGTTGTCATGTTGAACTAGTGATGTTGTCGTGTTGATGTAGTCATGTTGAACTGTTGATGTTGTCATGTTGATGTTGTCATGTTGAACTGTTGATGTTGTCATGTTGAACTGTTGATGTTGTCATGTTGATGTTCTCATGTTGAACTGTTGATGTAGTCATGTTGATGTTCTCATGTTGAACTGTTGATGTTGTCATTTTGAACTGTTGATGTTGTCATGTTGAACTGTTGATGTTCTCATGTTGATGTTCTCATGTTGATGTTGTCAAGTTGAACTGTTGATGATGTCATGTTGAACTGTTGATATTCTCATGTTGAACTATTGATGTTCTCATGTTGATGTTGTCATGTTGATGTTGTCATGTTGAACTGTTGATGTTGTCATGTTGATGTAGTCATGTTGATATTCTCATGTTGAACTATTGATGTTCTCATGTTGATGTTGTCATGTTGATGTTGTCATGTTGAACTGTTGATGTTGCCATGTTGATGTAGTCATGTTGAACTGTTGATGTTGTCATGTTGAACTGTTGATGTTGTCATGTTAAACTGTTGATGTTGTCATGTTGAACTGTTGATGTTGTCATGTTGATGTTGTCATGTTAAACTGTTGATGTTCTCTTGTTGAACTGTTGATGTTGTCAAGTTGAACTGTTGATGTTATCATGTTGAACTGTTGATGTTGTCATGTTGAACTGTTGATGTTGTCATGTTGATGTTCTCATGTTGATGTTGTCATGTTGAACTGTTGATGTTGTCATGTTTATGTTGTCATGTTTAACTGTTGATGTTGTCATTTTGAACTGTTGATGTTGTCATGTTAAACTGTTGATGTTCTCTTGTTGAACTGTTGATGTTGTCATGTTGAACTGTTGATGTTGTCATGTTTAACTGTTGATGTTCTCATGTTGATGTTCTCATGTTGATGTTGTCATGTTGATGTTGTCATGTTTAACTGTTGATGTTGTCATGTTGAACTGTTGATGTTGTCATGTTGAACTGTTGATGTTGTCATGTTGAACTGTTGATGTTGTCATGTTGAACTGTTGATGTTGTCATGTTTAACTGTTGATGTTGTCATGTTGAACTGTTGATGTTCTCATGTTGATGTTCTCATGTTGATGTTGTCATGTTGAACTGTTGATGTTGTCATGTTGAACTGTTGATGTTGTCATGTTGAACTGTTGATGTAGTCATGTTGAACTGTTGATGTTCTCATGTTGAACTGTTGATGTTGTCATGTTGAACTGTTGATGTTGTCATGTTGAACTGTTGATGTTGTCATGTTAAACTGTTGATGTTGTCATGTTGAGCCGTTGATGTTGTCATGTTGAACTGTTGATGTTGTTATGTTGATTTTCTCATGTTGAACTGTTGATGTTGTCATGTTGATGTTCTCATGTTGATGTTGTCATTGATGTTGTCATGTTGAACTGTTGATGTTCTCATGTTGAACTGTTGATGTTGTCATGTTGAACTGTTGATGTTGTCATGTTGATGTAGTCATGTTGAACTGTTGATGTTGTCATGTTGAACTAGTGATGTTGTCGTGTTGATGTAGTCATGTTGAACTGTTGATGTTGTCATGTTGATGTTGTCATGTTGAACTGTTGATGTTGTCATGTTGAACTGTTGATGTTGTCATGTTGATGTTCTCATGTTGAACTGTTGATGTAGTCATGTTGATGTTCTCATGTTGAACTGTTGATGTTGTCATTTTGAACTGTTGATGTTGTCATGTTGAACTGTTGATGTTCTCATGTTGATGTTCTCATGTTGATGTTGTCAAGTTGAACTGTTGATGATGTCATGTTGAACTGTTGATATTCTCATGTTGAACTATTGATGTTCTCATGTTGATGTTGTCATGTTGATGTTGTCATGTTGAACTGTTGATGTTGTCATGTTGATGTAGTCATGTTGATATTCTCATGTTGAACTATTGATGTTCTCATGTTGATGTTGTCATGTTGATGTTGTCATGTTGAACTGTTGATGTTGCCATGTTGATGTAGTCATGTTGAACTGTTGATGTTGTCATGTTGAACTGTTGATGTTGTCATGTTAAACTGTTGATGTTGTCATGTTGAACTGTTGATGTTGTCATGTTGATGTTGTCATGTTAAACTGTTGATGTTCTCTTGTTGAACTGTTGATGTTGTCAAGTTGAACTGTTGATGTTATCATGTTGAACTGTTGATGTTGTCATGTTGAACTGTTGATGTTGTCATGTTGATGTTCTCATGTTGATGTTGTCATGTTGAACTGTTGATGTTGTCATGTTTATGTTGTCATGTTTAACTGTTGATGTTGTCATTTTGAACTGTTGATGTTGTCATGTTAAACTGTTGATGTTCTCTTGTTGAACTGTTGATGTTGTCATGTTGAACTGTTGATGTTGTCATGTTTAACTGTTGATGTTCTCATGTTGATGTTCTCATGTTGATGTTGTCATGTTGATGTTGTCATGTTTAACTGTTGATGTTGTCATGTTGAACTGTTGATGTTGTCATGTTGAACTGTTGATGTTGTCATGTTGAACTGTTGATGTTGTCATGTTGAACTGTTGATGTTGTCATGTTTAACTGTTGATGTTGTCATGTTGAACTGTTGATGTTCTCATGTTGATGTTCTCATGTTGATGTTGTCATGTTGAACTGTTGATGTTGTCATGTTGAACTGTTGATGTTGTCATGTTGAACTGTTGATGTAGTCATGTTGAACTGTTGATGTTCTCATGTTGAACTGTTGATGTTGTCATGTTGAACTGTTGATGTTGTCATGTTGAACTGTTGATGTTGTCATGTTAAACTGTTGATGTTGTCATGTTGAGCCGTTGATGTTGTCATGTTGAACTGTTGATGTTGTTATGTTGATTTTCTCATGTTGAACTGTTGATGTTGTCATGTTGATGTTCTCATGTTGATGTTGTCATATTGAACTGTTGATGTTCTCATGTTGATGTTGTCATGTTGAACTGTTGATGTTCTCATGTTGAACTGTTGATGTTGTCATGTTGAACTGTTGATGTTGTCATGTTGATGTAGTCATGTTGAACTGTTGATGTTGTCATGTTGAACTAGTGATGTTGTCGTGTTGATGTAGTCATGTTGAACTGTTGATGTTGTCATGTTGATGTTGTCATGTTGAACTGTTGATGTTGTCATGTTGAACTGTTGATGTTGTCATGTTGATGTTCTCATGTTGAACTGTTGATGTAGTCATGTTGATGTTCTCATGTTGAACTGTTGATGTTGTCATTTTGAACTGTTGATGTTGTCATGTTGAACTGTTGATGTTCTCATGTTGATGTTCTCATGTTGATGTTGTCAAGTTGAACTGTTGATGATGTCATGTTGAACTGTTGATATTCTCATGTTGAACTATTGATGTTCTCATGTTGATGTTGTCATGTTGATGTTGTCATGTTGAACTGTTGATGTTGTCATGTTGATGTAGTCATGTTGATATTCTCATGTTGAACTATTGATGTTCTCATGTTGATGTTGTCATGTTGATGTTGTCATGTTGAACTGTTGATGTTGTCATGTTGATGTTGTCATGTTAAACTGTTGATGTTCTCTTGTTGAACTGTTGATGTTGTCATGTTGAACTGTTGATGTTATCATGTTGAACTGTCGATGTTGTCATGTTGAACTGTTGATGTTGTCATGTTGATGTTCTCATGTTGATGTTGTCATGTTGAACTGTTGATGTTGTCATGTTTATGTTGTCATGTTTAACTGTTGATGTTGTCATTTTGAACTGTTGATGTTGTCATGTTAAACTGTTGATGTTCTCTTGTTGAACTGTTGATGTTGTCATGTTGAACTGTTGATGTTGTCATGTTTAACTGTTGATGTTCTCATGTTGATGTTCTCATGTTGATGTTGTCATGTTGATGTTGTCATGTTTAACTGTTGATGTTGTCATGTTGAACTGTTGATGTTGTCATGTTGAACTGTTGATGTTGTCATGTTGAACTGTTGATGTTGTCATGTTGAACTGTTGATGTTGTCATGTTTAACTGTTGATGTTGTCATGTTGAACTGTTGATGTTCTCATGTTGATGTTCTCATGTTGATGTTGTCATGTTGAACTGTTGATGTTGTCATGTTGAACTGTTGATGTTGTCATGTTGAACTGTTGATGTAGTCATGTTGAACTGTTGATGTTCTCATGTTGAACTGTTGATGTTGTCATGTTGAACTGTTGATGTTGTCATGTTGAACTGTTGATGTTGTCATGTTAAACTGTTGATGTTCTCATGTTGAGCCGTTGATGTTGTCATGTTGAACTGTTGATGTTGTCATGTTGAACTGTTGATGTTGTCATGTTGAACTGTTGATGTTGTTATGTTGATGTTCTCATGTTGAACTGTTGATGTTCTCATGTTGATGTTCTCATGTTGATGTTGTCATGTTGATGTTGTCATGTTGAACTGTTGATGTTGTCATGTTGAACTGTTGATGTTGTCCCCAGAACTCTGATGTCCCTGTCTACAAACAGATGGGAAATTACATGCAGGCTCACCCTGAGGTTCTCGTACAGACCTCACACGAGGGGGTCAAGGTCAGTCTACAGCCTCCATCCACCAACACTCACACACATACACATCTACTAGAGAGTATGTCATCATCAAGAATGTCACATCTAGAGACTGTCACCACCTGTATAAAATGTCACCACCTATATAATGTGTCACCATCTACACAGTGTGTCACCACCTATATAATGTGTCACCACCTGTATAAAGTGTCACCACCTATATAATGTGTCACCATCTACACAGTGTGTCACCACCTATATAATGTGTCACCACCTGTATAAAGTGTCACCACCTATATAATGTGTCACCATCTACACAGTGTCACCACCTGTATAATGTGTCACCACCTGTATAATGTGTCACCACCTGTATACTGTGTCACCACCTATATAATGTGTCACCATCTACACAGTGTGTCACCACCTATACAATATGTCACCATCTACACAGTGTGTCACCACCTGTATAAAATGTCACCACCTATATAATGTGTCATCATCTGCACAGTGTTTCACCACCTGTATAATGTGTCACCACCTGTATAAAGTGTCACCACCTGTATAATGTGTCACCACCTGTATAAAGTGCCACCACCTATATAATGTGTCACCACCTGTATAAAATGTCACCACCTATATAATGTGTCATCATCTGCACAGTGTTTCACCACCTGTATAAAGTGTCACCACCTATATAATGTGTCACCACCTATATAATGTGTCACCACCTGTATAAAGTGTCACCACCTATATAATGTGTCACCATCTACACAGTGTGTCACCACCTATATAATGTGTCACCACCTGTATAAAGTGTCACCACCTATATAATGTGTCACCATCTACACAGTGTCACCACCTGTATAATGTGTCACCAAATGTATAATGTGTCACCACCTGTATAAAGTGTCACCACCTATATAATGTGTCACCATCTACACAGTGTGTCACCACCTATACAATGTGTCACCATCTACACAGTGTGTCACCACCTGTATAAAATGTCACCACCTATATAATGTGTCATCATCTGCACAGTGTTTCACCACCTGTATAAAGTGTCACCACCTATATAATGTGTCACCACCTGTATAAAATGTCACCACCTATATAATGTGTCATCATCTGCACAGTGTTTCACCACCTGTATAATGTGTCACCACCTGTATAAAGTGTCACCACCTGTATAATGTGTCACCACCTGTATAAAGTGCCACCACCTATATAATGTGTCACCACCTGTATAAAATGTCACCACCTATATAATGTGTCATCATCTGCACAGTGTTTCACCACCTGTATAAAGTGTCACCACCTATATAATGTGTCACCACCTATATAATGTGTCACCACCTGTATAAAGTGTCACCACCTATATAATGTGTCACCATCTACACAGTGTGTCACCACCTATATAATGTGTCACCACCTGTATAAAGTGTCACCACCTATATAATGTGTCACCATCTACACAGTGTCACCACCTGTATAATGTGTCACCAAATGTATAATGTGTCACCACCTGTATAAAGTGTCACCACCTATATAATGTGTCACCATCTACACAGTGTGTCACCACCTATACAATGTGTCACCATCTACACAGTGTGTCACCACCTGTATAAAATGTCACCACCTATATAATGTGTCATCATCTGCACAGTGTTTCACCACCTGTATAAAGTGTCACCACCTATATAATGTGTCACCACCTGTATAAAATGTCACCACCTATATAATGTGTCATCATCTGCACAGTGTTTCACCACCTGTATAATGTGTCACCACCTGTATAAAGTGTCACCACCTGTATAATGTGTCACCACCTGTATAAAGTGTCACCACCTATATAATGTGTCACCACCTGTATAAAATATCACCACCTATATAATGTGTCATCATCTGCACAGTGTTTCACCACCTGTTTAAAGTGTCACCACCTATATAATGTGTCACCACCTATATAATGTGTCACCACCTGTATAAAGTGTCACCACCTATATAATGTGTCACCACCTATATAATGTGTCACCACCTATATAATGTGTCATCATCTGCACAGTGTTTCACCACCTGTATAAAGTGTCACCACCTATATAATGTGTCACCACCTGTATAAAATGTCACCACCTATATAATGTGTCATCATCTGCACAGTGTTTCACCACCTGTATAATGTGTCACCACCTGTATAAAGTGTCACCACCTGTATAATGTGTCACCACCTGTATAAAGTGTCACCACCTATATAATGTGTCACCACCTGTATAAAATATCACCACCTATATAATGTGTCATCATCTGCACAGTGTTTCACCACCTGTTTAAAGTGTCACCACCTATATAATGTGTCACCACCTATATAATGTGTCACCACCTGTATAAAGTGTCACCACCTATATAATGTGTCACCACCTATATAATGTGTCACCACCTGTATAATGTGTCACCACCTAATGTGTCACCATGCCTATTGCCTCCCCAGCGCGTGTCTGACTCCAAAAATAAGTACGCCTTTCTGGCTGAGTCATCTCTAGTTGAGTACTACAATGAGCGGAAGCCTTGCGACACTGTCAGCGTTGGTGGCAAACTCAACAACCTCGGCTTCGGTGTAGCCACGCCCAGAAACTCTCCTCTAAGGTAGCATACGGTTAGCTGCAATGGCCTGTTTCAGAGATCCCATTAATGTTGCTGTAATGACCTGTTTCAGATATCCCATTTATGTAGCTGTAATGACGTTTCAGATATCCCATTAATGTAGCTGTAATGGCCTGTTTAGGAGATCCCATTAATGTAGCTGTAATGGGCTGTTTAGGAGATCCCATTTATATAGTTGTAATGACCTGTTTCAGATATCCCATTTATGTAGCTGTAATGACCTGTTTAGGAGATCCCATTTATGTAGCTTTAATGACCTGTTTAGGAGATCCCATTTATGTAGCTGTAATGACCTGTTTCAGATATCCCATTTATATAGTTGTAATGACCTGTTTCAGAGATCCCATTAATGTTGCTGTAATAACCTGTTTCAGATATCCCATTAATGTAGCTGCAATGGCCTGTTTCAGATATCCCATTAATGTAGTTGTAATGACCTGTTTCAGATATCCCATTTATGTAGCTGTAATGGCCTGTTTCAGATATCCCATTTATGTAGTTGTAATGACCTGTTTCAGATATCCCATTTATGTAGTTGTAATGACCTGTTTCAGATATCCCATTTATGTAGTTGTAATGACCTGTTTCAGATATCCCATTAATGTAGTTGTAATGACCTGTTTCAGATATCCCATTAATGTAGCTGTAATGGCCTGTTTCAGATATCCCATTTATGTTGCTGTAATGACCTGTTTCAGATATCCCATTAATGTAGATGTAATGACCTGTTTCAGATATCCCATTAATGTTGCTGTAATGACCTGTTTCAGAGATCCCATTAATGTTGCTGTAATGACCTGTTTCAGAGATCCCATTAATGTTGCTGTAATGACCTGTTTCAGAGATCCCATTAATGTAGCTGTAATGACCTGTTTCAGAGATCCCATTAATGTAGCTGTAATGACCTGTTTCAGAGATCCCATTAATGTTGCTGTAATGACCTGTTTCAGAGATCCCATTAATGTTGCTGTAATGACCTGTTTCAGAGATCCCATTAATGTAGCTGTAATGACCTGTTTCAGAGATCCCATTAATGTAGCTGTAATGACCTGTTTCAGAGATCCCATTAATGTAGCTGCAATGACCTGTTTCAGAGATCCCATCAATGTTGCCATAATGACCTGTTTCAGAGATCCCATCAATGTTGCTGTAATGACCTGTTTCAGAGATCCCATTAATGTTGCTGTAATGACCTGTTTCAGAGATCCCATTAATGTAGCTGTAATGACCTGTTTCAGAGATCCCATTAATGTAGCTGTAATGACCTGTTTCAGAGATCCCATTAATGTAGCTGTAATGACCTGTTTCAGAGATCCCATTAATGTTGCTGTTCTCAAATTGAAGGAGACAGGAGCTCTGTACACTCTGCACCAGAAGTGGTGGGTGGAGAAAGGTCAATGTGGCGGCCTTCACCAGAGCAAGGTCAGTTGTGGTCACCCTGGGTAAGGTCCTCACAACACCCGCTGGACAAGAGTGTCTAGACTTGCTTGTCCGGTGTGTGTGTGTGTGTATTTATGTGTGTGTGTCTGTGTGTGTATTTATGTGTGTGTGTGTAGATATATGTGCGTGTATGTGTGAGGTGCGGGGTGTTGGTCCTTGTGCAATTTAAGGCTAAACAAATGTCCGTTTTGTGGAACAATAGACGGGCAAGGTCTAAATAAATGTCCGAAAAAAAAATTATGGCCCACATTAAGTTTTTTTTTTTTTTTTTTTTTTTTTTTTTTTTTGTGGACTCAATAATTGATGGTGAAATATTTTATGTTGAAGTGTATAATGGTGAAATATTTGATGGTGAATTATTTGATGGTGAAATATTTGGTGTTGGATTATTTGATGTTAAAGTGATTAGAATTGAAATATGTTTAGTATTTATTTATTTTTTTTTTGGTGATGAAATATTTAGTTTGTAATATTTAATGTTGCAATATTTTATATTGAAATAAAAAAAAGTAAAGATTCCTCTTTAGACCTAACGCTCCATTGGGTAGATGAAGTGAATTTGTTTCTTAACCTCGGCAAATATTTGATGTTAAAATATTTTATACGAGCCGACCCGCAGAATACACAGTTATTTAGTTGTTTTATTTTCTACTTTTCAGAAATTCATAATTTGTGAATTCGACACTACCAATGCTGCCACTGAAAATATTTGCATTAAAACATTATCAGTAGCTCGTTAAGGACGATAACCCCCCACCACCACACACCCCGCGTGATAGCAGCCTACTCTTAGTTGAAATATTTGTTTTTGAATTATTTGATGTTGAAACTTTTAATATTGAATTATTTGATGTTCAAATGTTCAGTTATTAATTATTTGATGTTAAAATGTTCAGTTTTTAATTATTTGATGATAAAATGTTCAGTTTTTAATTATTTGATGATAAAATGTTCAGTTTTTAATTATTTGATGATAAAATGTTCAGTTTTTAATTATTTGATGTTAAAATGTTCAGTTTTTAATTATTTGATGATAAAATGTTCAGTTTTTTATTATTTGATGTTAAAATGTTCAGTTTTTAATTATTTGATGATAAAATGTTCAGTTTTTAATTATTTGATGTTAAAATGTTCATTTTTTTAATGTTTGCGACATCTAATGACGTATGACCTGTTTGTCTCCAGAAAGGCAAGGTGTCGCTGACCTTGAGCAATGTTGCTGGAATCTTCTACATCCTGATAGTCGGCCTAGTGATCGCTATCTCACTGGGCGTCTTTGAATTTTTGTGTTTTAGGAACAAGAATAAGGTGAGCTTTTACAAAGGTCAAGGTTTGGTTATGTTGGGGTCAGGGTCACTTGATATTATCTAAATTATATTCCCATCTTCAGTGTATTATTACATAAAAGCTTGAGTGGGACAGTCTACTAATTTCAGAAAATTGTAATTAATTCTTCAACAAATTAATTGGGCATCCAATTAAGTCAAATTTAATGACATATTGCATTGTCATTGGTTATTGACCCAGGTCCCCAATTTAAGAAGTGCCCGGTTAGTAGTGCCTGAAATTTTGCTCGCTCGTTTTGATCTAGACAGGACGACGGACAGTAGGGAGAAGGACAGACAGTTGGGAGGAAGACAGACAGTTGGGAGGAAGACAGACAGTTAGGAGGAAGACAGACAGTTGGGAGGAAGACAGACAGTTGGGAGGAAGACAGACAGTTAGGAGGAAGACAGACAGTTAGGAGGAAGACAGACAGTTAGGAGGAAGACAGACAGTTGGGAGAAGGACAGACAGTTGGGAAGAAGACAGACAGTTAGGAGGAAGACAGACAGTTGGGAGGAAGACAGACAGTTGGGAGGAAGACAGACAGTTAGGAGGAAGACAGACAGTTAGGAGGAAGACAGACAGTTAGGAGGAAGACAGACAGTTGGGAGAAGGACAGACAGTTGGGAAGAAGACAGACAGTTGGGAGGAAGACAGACAGTTGGGAGGAAGACAGACAGTTAGGAGGAAGACAGACAGTTAGGAGGAAGACAGACAGTTAGGAGGAAGACAGACAGTTGGGAGGAAGACAGACAGTTAGGAGGAAGACAGACAGTTAGGAGGAAGACAGACAGTTAGGAGGAAGACAGACAGTTAGGAGGAAGACAGACAGTTGGGAGCAAGACATATAGTTGACAGGACAGCAGACAGTAGGGAGAACGACAGAGGAAGTTAAGTAAAAGCTTGTAAAAAAACTTTCAGCATCGCGTTCCGTTTCGAGGATACTTTTACATGCTGATAAATTACACTAATTAGACCAACATGCTGATAAATTACACTAATTAGACCAACATGCTGATACAAATCGTGTTTACACTTAGACCTAAATCTGGTCAAACGTCATACGATTTCTCCCCACAGAACGAACCAAATCCTCCAAACGACGGCTACCTCAGGGGCACAAACACACTGACCACATTGTGTGCCACGCCAAACGACAGGGAAGACTCGATGTTGCCATATGAATCCCGGAGACAGGTGAGTTTGTTTACATTATGTGTGTGAGACAGGTGAGTTTGTTTACATTATGGGAGTAAGACAGGTGAGTTTGTTTACATTATGTGTGTGGGACAGGTGAGTTTGTTTACATTATGTGTGTGGGACAGGTGAGTTTGTTTACATTATGTGTGTGGGACACCTGAGTTTGTTTACATTATGTGTGTGAGACAGGTGAGTTTGTTTACATTATGTGTGTGGGACAGGTGAGTTTGTTTACATTATGTGTGTGGGACACCTGAGTTTGTTTACATTATGGGAGTGAGACAGGTGAGTTTGTTTACATTATGGAAGTGAGACAGGTGAGTTTGTTTACATTATGTGTGTGAGACAGGTGAGTTTGTTTACATTATGGGAGTGAGACAGGTGAGTTTGTTTACATTATGGGAGTGAGACAGGTGAGTTTGTTTACATTATGTGTGTGGGACAGGTGAGTTTGTTTACATTATGTGTGTGGGACACCTGAGTTTGTTTACATTATGGGAGTGAGACAGGTGAGTTTGTTTACACTATGGAAGTGAGACAGGTGAGTTTGTTTACATTATGGGAGTGAGACAGGTGAGTTTGTTTACATTATGGGAGTGAGACAGGTGAGTTTGTTTACATTATGTGTGTGAGACAGGTGAGTTTGTTTACATTATGGGAGTGAGACAGGTGAGTTTGTTTACACTATGGAAGTGAGACAGGTGAGTTTGTTTACATTATGGGAGTGAGACAGGTGAGTTTGTTTACATTATGGGAGTGAGACAGGTGAGTTTGCTTACACTATGGAAGTGAGACAGGTGAGTTTGTTTACATTATGGGAGTGAGACAGGTGAGTTTGTTTACATTATGTGTGTGGGACACCTGAGTTTGTTTACATTATGTGTGTGAGACAGGTGAGTTTGTTTACATTATGGGGAGGGTAGGGGTGGGAGGTGTGTATCTCTTTCTACCTTTCAGATTGTGCTCTTTTAACACCTGAGAAACCAAATGACTGTTATAACGTTAATTTATTCGAGGGCGCTCACGTGATGTTTGGCTTGAGACTGTCTTAATTAATATTAATACTTTATTTTGTTTTTTTTTAGTTAGGCGAGAGTTCCCAGTCTATGTCTTAGCTATGCTTAAAATATTTCTTTTAACTCGATGTCAGAGCATTTTTTAAAAGAAAATCTTATTTTATTCCGAATATTCCCATATAGTCAATCTCTAAACAGCCGTTGCTACTATTCTGTTTTCATCTTCTGTTGTCTAGTCGTGTTAATTAAGTTAAGTGAGATTGCTTCATTTGTTGTGGCTGTTTGATTGGTGGTATATAATATTTTCGCAAGTGTTTGTTTTGCTTTCTGTATTAATATTTAATCTAAATAAATGTGTTTCTCGGTTTCTTGTATATTTTGTTTACACGTTTGACATGTTATTTTAACATTTTGATTTGACTTTGTATTTCGTGAAACTGGTGTTAATTAAAAATTAGTCTTACTTCCATTCCTTTTGGTGTAATGCGTTTATTATGTAGGTTTCTAAATGTATCTTTAATATCTAATATATTGTGTTGCCTGGCCCAACTAATTATGGTGTATAAGGGTGTCGCTTATTGTTTGATTAGGGTTAGCCCATTTGTCGTGAGCCCTTATGTCAGAAGCCAATATGTCAGAAGCCGCTTTGTCGGGAGTCAGTATGACGGGAGCCCATTGGACTGGAGCCAATAAGTCGGGGCCCTTTTGACAGGGCTATTTTGACGATTGTAGGAAAAAAAGTCACAGGAAAAAAAAACACAGGAAAAAAAAACACAGAAAAAAAGTCACAGGAAAAAAAGTCACAGGAAAAAAAGTCACAGGAAAAAAAGTCACAAATATATATTTGCATGATATTTGTAAATACTTTTATGTATTAAATATTTAGAGAGTGCAAATTAACTTAGGATTAATTAAATGTAATGTAATGTGTGTAGGCTGTATACGCATAGGAATTTTTATAATTCATCTAAAAATATTTATTGTGAAGTATGTAGATTGTAATTATGTTAAACTTAAGATTAGTAGCATTTAATAGAATGCTCCAAAGTCCACGGTTTTCATCGTGTTTTTTTTTAAATACCAATATTAAATTACCCTGAAATGGTAAGTTCATCTGACTTGCTGCCCTCAACTCATGGCAAAATTTGCCTAAATTTCTTTTATAATTAACTTTTCTACCGCGTATTTAACTAAATACGTAACAAGTTGAGATTGTTGTGTAAATTATCTTAGAGTATTTTTACTTACAATTGTTATAAATCATAATGCTTTTAACGTCTATAAATAATTTATGCTATCAAAAAATACAACCCACAACAATAAACATACAAAATTTTACAATTCTTAACAAATTAATAAAAATATTTCTAAAATGATTTTTGTGACTTTTTTTCTGTGACTTTATTTCTGTGACTTTTTTTCCGATAAAATTTTTCCACTGTGACTTTTTTTCTGTGACTTTTTTTCCTAGCAAAAACTGTGACTTTTTTTCTGTGTTTTTTTTTCCTGTGACTTTTTTTCCGTTTACCATTTTGACTGGGCCGATTTGTCCCGGGTCATTTTGACGTTTTGAAAGTGATCGTCTATTACGAGTTTGGACAGTCTAATAAACAGAGGACTGAACAAAAGTGTAATAAACAGAGGACTGAACAAAAGTGTAATAAACAGAGGACTGAACAAAAGTGTAATAAACAGAGGACTGAACAAAAGTGTAATAAACAGAGGACTGAACAAAAGCGCTCCTGTTCGATATTTGTATTGGATCGTTTTTTGTCTGTGAATTCACGTTATCCTACAAGCCCATCTTAAACTCGCTTCCTAACAGTTCGGACGGTGCAAAACTCGAGATTTTAGCTTTTGCATGTTGACAATATTTTCCCTAGAGATTTGAACTTTTGCATGTTGACAATATTTTCCCTAGAGATTTGAAGTTTTGCATGTTGACAATATTTTCCCTAGAGATTTGAAGTTTTGCATGTTGACAATATTTTCCCTAGAGATTTGAACTTTTGCATGTTGACAATATTTTCCCTAGAGATTTGAACTTTTGCATGTTGACAATATTTTCCCTAGAGATTTGAACTTTTGCACGTTGACAATATTTTCCCTAGAGATTTGAACTTTTGCACGATGACAATATTTTGCCTAGAGATGTGAACTTTTCTACTTTGACAAAAGTACAAATGTCTTGTGCTTTTTGTTTTACTGGAACTTTTTTTTTCAGACCCCGGAACCATCAAGCCATTCCGGATCTGATAAATTCCTTGACCCTTGTCCTCATAGACAGGTGAGTCAGCAGATTGGTCGTGGTTAGACAGGTTAGTGACATCTACACAGGTAAGTGACATCTACACAGGTAAGTGACATCTACACAGGTTAGTGACATCTACACAGGTAAGTGACATCTACACAGGTAAGTGACATCTACACAGGTAAGTGACATCTACACAGGTTAGTGACATCTACACAGGTAAGTGACATCTACACAGGTTAGTGACATCTACACAGGTTAGTGACATCTACACAGGTTAGTGACATCTACACAGGTTAGTGACATCTACACAGGTTAGTGACATCTACACAGGTTAGTGACATCTACACAGGTTAGTGACATCTACACAGGTTAGTGACATCTACACAGGTAAGTGATATCTAGACAGGTTAGTGATGTCACATATAGTAAGAGTATGTTAAACATGGGTTGATTACATTGTGGCTTGATTACATTGTGGCTGGATTATATTGTGGCTTGATTACATTGTGGTTTGATTACATTGTGGCTTGATTATCTTGTACTGGTGCAGCATTTGAAGCCTGACGAACGTTCAACGGTTGTTCTCTTTCAGGTGCCCGAGCCCCCCTACATTGGATTTGAAAAGTTCATGGTGGATACAGCGCTTAAAACAGAGCACGACACGTTTTGACGCATGACAAATCTCATATCTGATAACCAATTGTCAGCTCCTATTATATGCAAAGAATCTATTTTTCTATAAGCCCATGTCTTCATAAGATTTCATTTCATCAAACAAAAAATTAAGGGTCTTTTAATGTCTTTTCATTTTGTTCAAGACATTCTCAGGTGATGACAGGTGTGTGTGTCATGGTGTCAGGTGATGACAGGTGTGTCATGGTGTCAGGCAATGACGTGTGTGTCAGGTGATGACAGGTGTGTGTGTCATGGTGTCAGGTGATGACAGGTGTGGGTGTCATGGTGTCAGGTGATGACAGGTGTGTCATGGTGTCAGGTGATGACAGGTGTGTCATGGTGTCAGGTGATGACGTGTGTCAGGTGATGACAGGTGTGTGTGTCATGGTGTCAGGTGATGACAGGTGTGGGTGTCATGGTGTCAGGTGATGACAGGTGTGTCATGGTGTAAGGTGATGACAGGTGTGTCATGGTGTCAGGTGATGACGTGTGTCAGGTGATGACAGGTGTGTGTGTCATGGTGTCAGGTGATGACAGGTGTGTCATGGTGATGACAGGTGGGTGTGTCATGGTGTCAGGTGATTACGTGTGTGTCAGGTGATGACAGGTGTGGGTGTCATGGTGTCAGGTGATGACAGGTGTTGGTGTCGTGTCGGCAGGTAATGACATGTGTGGTTGATGTTGTAATGTACGTGGCAGAAAGAGTTGAACCAAATTGTGATGTGTTATATTCATTCTATTTTGTATTAGTGCCACTGTCTGAATTCTTTGACTTGTCGATATGCCATGTGACCCAGAAATGTCAAGATTTTATTGACATTTAATGTCAAGTCATTAACTTTTGATCAAGCTATGTATGCAATTATGTGCGTTAAATTATTAATATGCTCATTATGATATTGTGATGAAATGTCATGACCTTGACCTATATCATGTTGACCTTGTGATGTCTTATACAACAACGTGAGTATATGAAAACGTGACCACGTGACAGCGTGGCCAGACAACAAACGTGACAAATCGCCATCACAAGGTAGAGACTACACGTTGACCCATGGACCTTTACAATGTGTGACAGACGAACGACAAATTGTGTACTGTACACACAACGTGTGGTGTACACACAATGTGTGGTGTACACACAATGTGTGGTGTACACACAATGTGTGGTGTACACACAATGTGTGGTGTACACACAACGTGTACTGTATACACAATGTGTGGTGTACACAAATTGTGTGGTGTACACAAATTGTGTGGTGTACACAAATTGTGTGGTGTGCTACTTTGTACATCATTTTGTTTAGTGTGGTGGCACGGGACGACTCGTGGTTTACCGATAAAATCTTTGTTAGTTCACACACGAAATATTTTGTCCCCTGTTCACCACCTACCCTCACCCTCCACCTCATATTTGTACGTCCTGCCTACTCAAAGACAGCTCTTCATCCAAGGTCAACTCAAGGTCAACCCAAGATCAACTGAAACCTGGTTTTTGTACATTTTTTGACTCAATGAACACATGAAACGTTAATGATTTTTGTACTGTTATAAAATGTAAATTTATTTTATTGTTTGTGGTTCTTATCAACAATCATGGGTAATTGAATCAATAATCATGGGTGATTAAATCAACAATCATTGGTGACTTATACATACAGATAGCACATACAGGTAGCACATACAGGTAGCACATTCATTTAGTACATACAACCAGCACATACAGCGGATATAAACAGCCTCAAGGCTACAAAAAAATGTTATTGAAGTGCGCATGTGAACAGCACGAAATATTTTCTCGCTTTTGTTTTTAACTTCCCAAAGTCGTGGAGAAAATTTTCCCGCTTTTTAAAAATAAACTTCCTATTACGGTTTCCCTCGGCTAAAATTAGCTCAGTTAGGGCCAGAAAATTGTGTCTAAAGTTTAGAACAGGCCAGGTGGAATCAGTGACTTGAGTGGTGGATGCCAGACTCAATGAACATCAGACTCTCCAACTCAAGCATCCCTCACAGCTGGTGGAACTAATTAGTTCAGTGACCTGATTAATTATCTTTGAAGTTCTTGACCATCGAAGTTGGCACACGTTTTTATCTGAAACATTTGAAAACCAAGGGCCAATCAAATCTTAGCTACAAAATTTTCCACAAACTTCTCACAAGCCGCCTCAAGCAATAAACGGGTACAACAATTTTATTAGAAGCTGATTATTTGGAATTAGAACAAGCGTTCTAATTAACATGGCTAACATGACTAATATAGTCACGTGGGCAGTGCTATCAACAAAGCCGTGGATAAAACATTCAAAGATACTTTAAGACGTGTAACACCACAAACTACCATAAATCTTACGACACCACACACCACAAACTACCATAAATCTTACGACACCACACATTAAACCACACACCACACCATAACACCACTAGTTTATAAAATGTTTGCGTGTTTTAGATGACCTAGATGGTACGGCTAATCGTATTCAGTGTCTCCTTGATTTCTCGATGTTGACCCGTAGTGACCCTTCGTAATTTCATGTGTTTTACATTTTTAAAGATTATTTTCCTACCCCCCCCCTGCCCCTTCCAATCGAAGGTGTAAATATCACGTGATCATGGACATGACATTTTTGTTGAACTGTTTACTATATTGCAATGACATTTAGCATGATATATTGTCAGACGTGAGATATTAAGCAGCTAATTCATGAGAATAAATCCAACGCAAACTATGACTAAATTGACAGCAATCATAGCTGCAGCCATACCAGCAGCCTAATTTTAGCTTAAACCTTCAGCTTGGCTACAATTAGTAGTATTTTAGCTTATGCTAGCTTAAGGCTAGCGGTGTGTTCTCCTCTAGCTGACATGTAATTTGTAAACTGACAGGGCACAAGTCTCCGTCTAGACTGAAGCGATGGCCAGACGTCTAGACTGAAGCGATGGCCAGACGTCTAGACTGAAGCGATGGCCAGACGTCTAGACTGAAGCGATGGCCAGACGTCTAGACTGAAGCGATGGCCAGACGTCTAGACTGAAGCGATGGCCAGACGTCTAGACTGAAGCGATGGCCAGACGTCTAGACTGAAGCGATGGCCAGACGTCTAGACTGAAGCGATGGCCAGACGTCTAGACTGAAGCGATGGCCAGACGTGAAGCGATGGCCCGAGGTTCCAGATGTATCGAACTGCATGCTGTGTGGGAATGAAAGATGAACCAACAAACAGATCTTACAGTCGTCACGATCAAACGTGGTTTGTCATGGATTCTAAAATTAGCTCATTCATAGGTCGAGAGTTGTTTTTACATTGAGCCGGGCCTATATAAATTATATTAACGGCCTTTGGTCCCAGCGTCCACTGCGCCTGTTTGTTTACTTCCGCTGGTTGTAGTATCTGGTCACGTGGGCAGCCTCGACCAATGGCCTGGATCTTGCGATATAATTTGCATATCATAATGACCAGCATTGTGGAGAGCATGAAGCAGACGAGAGAGATGAGGATCACCTGAGCTATGTCTGTCTGCAGGAGGTTGTGGTCACTGGTCAGTCGAGTGGTCAAGTTTGTGGTCCAGACGGTAGACGGTTGGGTGCTGGTGCTGACATGCGCAATCACAACTTCTTGCTTGGATCTGAACCCACCGGAATCTGCACAGAAGATTTACATTCAGTGACATTTGGTTTTATACATGTCACCTGTCATCAACTGTCACCTTCCATCAAACGTCAACTGTCATTAAATGCCACCTGTCATCATATGTCATCTGTCATCAAATGTCACCTGACTAGGTGTAAACCAACTGACCTATGATGTTTCTCTGCCTCCACTGGTGCAGCAACATGCCCGAACAGAGTCTACCGTCTGCACCACCTGCACACTCAGCCAGGTGTGGCTCACCTGGTAGACAAGACATGCACCGGTTGCATTTGTTCAGGGAAAAATCTTTGTAGAATCCTGAGGACAAAGGTCAAACCGTTACTAGATGCAGGTGAAGGTCATCTATTTATAGCAAGAGACGTGTGGCCACTATACCTAAATACAGAGAGAATAATTACAGGTAAGGCTGTTTAGAACATTTCTATTGGACACACATGTGTCAATGCGAGAAACTAAAGAACACACCTGTGTTAATTCGAGAAACTAAAGAACACACCTGTGTTAATTCGAGAAACTAAAGAACACACCTGTGTTAATTCGAGAAACTAAAGAACACACCTGTGTTAATTCGAGAAACTAAAGAACACACCTGTGTTAATTCGAGAAACTAAAGAACACACCTGTGTTAATGCGAGAAACTAAAGGACACACCTGGCTTACACTGACCACAGACTGTGTCCTGCTTGCCTGTACAGTTCTGCAGGGTTTCCCTGTTGCCGCAGTCAGTACACGGGGCGCAGTAGGGGGAGTAGGAGGACATGACTGAAACAATGGTGGCAGTTTTAGCACATGACTGAAACAATGGTGGCAGTTTTAGCACATGACTGAAACAATGGTGGCAGTTTTAGCACATGACTGAAACAATGGTGGCAGTTTTAGCACATGACTGAAACAATGGTGGCAGTTTTAGCACATGACTGAAACATTGCTGGCAGTTTTAGCACATGACTGAAACAATGGTGGCAGTTTTAGCACATGACTGAAACATTGGTGGCAGTTTTAGCACATGACTGAAACAATGGTGGCAGTTTTAGCACATGACTGAAACATTGCTGGCAGTTTTAGCACATGACTGAAACAATGGTGGCAGTTTTAGCACATGACTGAAACATTGCTGGCAGTTTTAGCACATGACTGAAACATTGGTGGCAGTTTGAGCACATGACTGAAATTATTGTGGCAGTTTTAGCACATGACTGAAACAATGGTGGCAGTTTTAGCACATGACTGAAATTATTGTGGCAGTTTTAGCACATGACTGAAATTATTGTGGCAGTTTTAGCACATGACTGAAACTATTGTGGCAGTTTTAGCACATGACTGAAATTATTGTGGCAGTTTTAGCACATGACTGAAATTATTGTGGCAGTTTTAGCACATGACTGAAATTATTGTGGCAGTTTTAGCACATGACTGAAATAATGGTGGCAGTTTTAGCACATGACTGAAATTATTGTGGCAGTTTTAGCACATGACTGAAATAATGGTGGCAGTTTTAGCACATGACTGAAATTATTGTGGCAGTTTTAGCACATGACTGAAATTATTGTGGCAGTTTTAGCACATGACTGAAATTATTGTGGCAGTTTTAGCACATGACTGAAATTATTGTGGCAGCGACTTACCACTGTAGGAGCCCCGGGGACACCGGGCACACTTTGTCTTTTCAGCGGACGTACAGGAGGTCAGGACAAACTCCCCAGGTCTACAGGGTGGACATTTGAGACACTTGGGGTGCTGTGGACAAAACAGGGTGGACATTTGAGACACATGGGGTTCTGTGGACAAGACAGGGTGGACATTTGAGACACATGTGGACAAGACAGGGTGGACATTTTTGACACTTGGGGTGCTGTGGACAAGACAGGGTTGACATTTGAGACACATGGGGTGATGTGGACAAGACAGGGTTGACATTTGAGACACATGGGGTGTTGTGGACAAGACAGGGTGGACATTTGAGACACATGTGGACAAGACAGGGTGGACATTTGAGACACATGTGGACAAGACAGGGTGGACATTTGAGACACATGTGGACAAGACAGGGTGGACATTTGAGACACATGTGGACAAGACAGGGTGGACATTTGAGACACATGGGGTGCTGTGGACAAGACAGGGTTGACATTTGAGACACATGTGGACAAGACAGGGTGGACATTTGAGACACTTGGGGTTCTGTGGACAAGACAGGGTTGACATTTGAGACACATGGGGTGCTGTGGACAAGACAGGGTTGACATTTGAGACACATGTGGACAAGACAGGGTGGACATTTGAGACACTTGGGGTTCTGTGGACAAGACAGGGGTGACATTTGAGACACATGGGGTGATGTGGACAAGACAGGGTTGACATTTGAGACACATGGGGTGTTGTGGACAAGACAGGGTGGACATTTGAGACACATGTGGACAAGACAGGGTGGACATTTGAGACACATGTGGACAAGACAGGGTGGACATTTGAGACACATGTGGACAAGACAGGGTGGACATTTGAGACACATGTGGACAAGACAGGGTGGACATTTGAGACATATGAGGTTCTGTGGACAAAACAGGGTGGACATTTGAGACACATGGGGTGCTGTGGACAAGACAGGGTTGACATTTGAGACACTTGGGGTGCTATGGACAAGACAGGGTTGACATTTGAGACACATATGGACAAGACAGGGTGGACATTTGAGACACTTGGGGTTCTGTGGACAAGACAGGGTTGACATTTGAGACACATGGGGTGATGTGGACAAGACAGGGTTGACATTTGAGACACATGGGGTGTTGTGGACAAGACAGGGTGGACATTTGAGACACATGTGGACAAGACAGGGTGGACATTTGAGACACATGGGGTTCTGTGGACAAGACAGGGTTGACATTTGAGACACATGGGGTGCTGTGGACAAGACAGGGTTGACATTTGAGACACATGGGGTGTTGTGGACAAGACAGGGTCATGACGTTATTCTCCACACCTGACGTCAGCTTTGATGTCATGATTATATAACAGCCTTTATGTCATGATTATATAACAGCCTTGATGTCATGATTATATAACAGCCTTGATGTCATGATTATATAACAGCCTTGATGTCATGATTACATAACAGCCTTGATGTCATGATTATATAACAGCCTTGATGTCATGATTATATAACAGCCTTGATGTCATGATTATATAACAAAATTTTTAGTTGTTCTAGTCGAGGGGGGGGGGCTCTAGGCTAGTTGTTCTAGTCGAGTCTACTACAACTTTCTAAGAGCCGTCAATAACTGGGTTGTTCCCCTTTGTAAGGACCTGCATCAAATAATTAAGTGACAGTTTTTTCTTCCACGGTTAGTCACTACACGACACTAAACATTGATAGTCACTACACGACACTAAACATTGATAGTCACTACACGACACTAAACATTGATAGTCACTACACGACACTAAACATTGATAGTCACTACACGACACTAAACATTGATAGTCACTACACGACACTAAACATTGATAGTCACTACACGACACTAAACATTGATAGTCACTACACGACACTAAACATTGATAGTCACTACACGACACTAAACATTGATAGTCACTACACGACACTAAACATTGATAGTCACTACACGACACTAAACATTGATAGTCACTACACGACACTAAACATTGATAGTCACTACACGACACTAAACATTGATAGTCACTACACGACACTAAACATTGATAGTCACTACACGACACTAAACATTGATAGTCACTACACGACACTAAACATTGATAGTCACTACACGACACTAAACATTGATAGTCACTACACGACACTAAACATTGATAGTCACTACACGACACTAAACATTGATAGTCACTACACGACACTAAACATTGATAGTCACTACACGACACTAAACATTGATAGTCACTACACGACACTAAACATTGATAGTCACTACACGACACTAAACATTGATAGTCACTACACGACACTAAACATTGATAGTCACTACACGACACTAAACATTGATAGTCACTACACGACACTAAACATTGATAGTCACTACACGACACTAAACATTGATAGTCACTACACGACACTAAACATTGATAGTCACTACACGACACTAAACATTGATAGTCACTACACGACACTAAACATTGATAGTCACTACACGACACTAAACATTGATATTCACTACACGACACTAAATATTGATGGTCACTACACGACACTAAACATTGATAGTCACTACACGACACTAAACATTGATAGTCACTACACGACACTAACAATGATAATCACTACACGATACAGAAAATGTTGGCCAATTGAATTTACTACAATTGAATTTACTGCATTATGTATTCATAGCAATTTACAGGGAAAAAAGTTTTTAAAAATGAAACGCGAGTCACTTCTTTAATTTTAGTCAATAGATAATATAGCGACCTACACTTTTCTTTTTAGCTATTTAAATACAGATTTATTATTACAAATTTTGAGAAAATTATCTTCTGATCTTATAAGGCTTACGTCATTTATTTTTAAACAATCTCCCCCCCCCCCCACAAATGTGGTTATGTTTTACTTCCCTGTGGATCTAGCCCCACCCACTACACTGACAGTCAAAGTACGACACAGAACTAATGCTATGCTAGGCGCGGCTGAATATCCATACAACCGTAACTTTGTGTCTTTTCTAAAAATAGATGTGATTTCAAGCCTACAACAATAGTCGGGTAGTCATGGAGGCATGACAAACTTTAGTCAGCATTTCTGATGTCAGCATGTACTGACACTTCACTGTGTTTATGTAATCCATACTTGGCAAAATGTCATTAGTCATGATCACGTGAGATGGGGGGGGGGGGGCAGGGGGAAGTAGATTCAACCCACTAGACACAGATGGGGGGGGGGAAGTAGAGTCAACCCACTTAACACAGATTGGGGGGGGGGGGAGTAGATTCAACCCACTAGACACAGATTGGGGGGGGGGGGGAATAGATTCAACCCACTAGACACAGATGGGGGGGGGGGGAATAGATTCAACCCACTAGACACAGATGGGGGGGGGGGATGTAGATTCAACCCACTTAACACAGATGGGGAGGGGGAAGTAGAGTCAACCCACTTAACACAGATTGGGGGGGGGGGAAGTAGATTCAACCCACTAGACACAGATGGGGGAGGGGGAGGGGGCAGGGGGAAGTAGAGTCAACCCACTTAACAAAGACCAGGAAGGCTAATACAAAATTTGGGCCAATCGTTGGCTGTGTTCGCGAGAACGGGGTTACACCTTCAGGTGTTCAAGTAGGTCAGGTGTGTGATTAGGTCAGGTGTCATTTGTGACATTTGGCAGGGGTTAACTGGGTCACAAGTTGAGCTGATGTCAGGCAGATGTCAGGCAGATGTCAGGCAGATGTCAACAACTCACCGAAAACGTCTGACGCCTGACACCTGTGTCACTCAAACACCTGAGGCAGGTGGTGTCGGTCGAGCGCGTGCATGCCCTGAGCTGCACGGAGAAGTAGTCACACCTGGAGCACGGCTGGCAACTTCCGGTCAGTGATGAGAAGTGTTGACCCTCGGCACACATCTCCACAAGTCTGACGGGCACACCACTAGCCTGGCGACATACACGATTGGTCAGAAACATGGCTTTACAAGCTTGTAGAGAAACATGGCTTTACAAGCTTGTAGAGAAACATGGCTTTACAAGCTTGTAGAGAAACATGGCTTTACAAGCTTGTAGAGAAACATGGCTTTACAAGCTTGTAGAGAAACATGGCTTTACAAGCTTGTAGAGAAACATGACTTTACAAGCTTGTAGAGAAACATGGCTTTACAAGCTTGTAGAGAAACATGGCTTTACAAGCTTGTAGAGAAACATGGCTTTACAAGCTAGTAGAGAAACATGGCTTTACAAGCTTGTAGAGAAACACTAGCTTTACAAGCTTGTAGAGAAACATGGCTTTACAAGCTTGTAGAGAAACATGGCTTTACAAGCTTGTAGAGAAACATGGTTTTACAAGGTAGTAGAGAAACATGGCCTTACAAGCTAGTTTAGAAATATGGGTTTACACAACTAGCACAGAAACATGGCTTTACAATCTAGCAGTGGACAGATGAGGAAACAAAACTACACATACTGTTGGCGACATGTAGCAGGAACATTAAGTTCCTAGAACTAGCTGACCTACATTTTGTGTGGCGAGATAGTTTCTATAGAAGCCATGGGCGGTTTAGTTTGTGCTGAAACCATTTCACCCCCACCCCATCATGTGTATGTGTGTGTGTGTCGGCTGCTGTTTTCGTGGCCGTCTTTACTTTCCGGGGAAAAGTTTCCAACCGAAAGTTCACCAATGTCTCTGTCCCCCGTTCTATCAAAGCTCACCTTTCGTTTTGAATCAACGGAAATTTCCGATATTATTTTTAGATTGTAGACGTGTCTCCACAGGTTGCAACATCAGAGGTGGGTGATTACATGTGGCTAAAGGTGGGGGGGTGTAGGAGTGTATAGAGGGGGGTTGTAGGGGTGTATAGAGGGGGGTTGTAGGGGTGTATAGAGGGGGGGGGGTTGTAGGGGTGTATAGAGGGGGGAGGGGGTTGAAGGGGTGTATAGGGGGGTTGTAGGGGTGTATGGGGGAGGGGGGTTGTAGGGGTGTATAGGGGGTTGTAGGGGTGTATAGGGGCTTGTCTGTCTGTCTGTCTGTCTGTCTGCCTGTCTGTCTGTCTGTCTGTCTGTCTGTCTGTCTGTCTGTCTGTCTGTCTGTCTGTCTGTCTGTCTGTCTGTCTGTCTGTCTGTCTGTCTGTGATCAAGATAACTTAAGTTCCGTTTCAGTTGTGTTGACTACATTTCATGTATTAATTATATCAAATTTATAGTTCTGTATCAACTTTTGAATTATTTCCGATAACCGGAAGTGGTACTTATTAACTTGTTTAAGTTAGGTAGAAATTTTACTAACAGTAATACATTGTATGCGCATGCTTCTGTCAAACTTTAAAATAGTTTCGGTAACCGGCAGTGGTACTCTATTTCCGTGTTAAGATTATAACTTGAATACTGTTTGAGTTAGGTAGACCAAAGTTCATGTACCGATATCTTGAGTACCGTTTCAGTTAAATGGAGGAAATTTTAAATCTAAGACAAACCATGGGTTACCAGCCAGGGGATAATTTAAAACTTATTTGGTTGCGGCCCCTGTGGGACCCCTGTGTGACCCCTGTAAGACCCCTGTGGGACCGCAAATGTTTATGTTATTTTTGTGCCCTTCGGTGAGCAATGTTTCGCCGTGTTACCCATGTCATGTGACCTCTGTGTGTAGTTGTGAATGTGTCAACTGGATTCAAACCCCAGACTGCGGGTGATCAGGACTGTATGCTGACAGGGGCATAGAATAACTAGAGTAATGTGTATAGAACTAATGAAGGTATTGTACGCTGATATGGACATAGAATAACTAGAGTAATGTATATAGACCTAGTGAAGGTATTGTACGCTGATATGGACATAGAATAACTAGAGTAATGTATATAGACCTAGTGAAGGTATTGTACGCTGATATGGACATAGAATAACTAGAGTAATGTATATAGACCTAGTGAAGGTATTGTACGCTGACAGGGGTATAGAATAACTAGAGTAATGTGTATAGACCTAGTGAAGGTATTGTACGCTGATATGGACATAGAATGACTAGAGTAATGTATATAGACCTAGTGAAGGTATTGTACGCTGATATGGACATAGAATAACTAGAGTAATGTATATAGACCTAGTGAAGGTATTGTACGCTGATATGGACATAGAATAACTAGAGTAATGTATATAGACCTAGTGAAGGTATTGTACGCTGATATGGACATAGAATAACTAGAGTAATGTGTATAGAACTAATGAAGGTATTGTACGCTGATATGGGCATAGAAGAACTAGAGTAATGTGTATAGAACTAATGAAGGTATTGTACGCTGACATGGGTATAGAATAACTAGAGTAATGTGTATAGAACTAATGAAGGTATTGTACGCTGATATGGACATAGAAGAACTAGAGTAATGTATATAGAACTAATGAAGGTATTGTGTTGATATTATCATACTAAAACCGAAAGTTACGGACTAGATATGTGAAGTAATTTAACTCCACTTAAAATACTTGCAGTGTATTTTCATACTGGTCGTAATATATTTTATTTTATTATTTTATGACCAGTCTGCTTAATATATACAAGTATGTTACCTATTTGTGTTTACATCATTTTAGGGCTGTTTGAAATTTTAAGGAATTCTTTATGACGTACTGTATGAAAAGTTCTGTCTGGAAAAAGTTCTGTATGAAAAGTTCTGTCTGGAATTGTTTACATCTTTCTCTAGTCAACTGAGCTGGTTGTGTAATGAAGACAACATGTTTTGTGGTTGTGTAATGAAGACAACATGTTTTGTGTGTTGTGTAATGAAGACAACATGTTTTGTGTGTTGTGTAATGAAGACATGTTTTGTGTGTTGTGTAATGAAGACAACATGTTTTGTGGTTGTGTAATGAAGACAACATGTTTTGTGTGTTGTGTAATGAAGACAACATGTTTTGTGTGTTGTGTAATGAAGACAACATGTTTTGTGTGTTGTGTAATGAAGACTACATGTTTTGTGGTTGTGTAATGAAGACATGTTTTGTGGTTGTGTAATGAAGACTACATGTTTTGTGGTTGTGTAATGAAGACAACATGTTTTGTGTGTTGTGTAATGAAAACAACATGTTTTGTGTGTTGTGTAAAGAAGACAACATGTTTTGTGTGTTGCTATCTCTCTGGGTTAGCCGCACTACACCTCAGTGGGTGATTATCACAACTTAACCCCACTGAGGCAGTGATACATAAACATAAGTAAAACATAAGTAGAACATAAGAAAGTAAAAGATAAGTTAAAGATAAGTAAAAGATAAGTAAAAGATAAGTAGAAGATAAGTAAAAGATAAGTAAAAGATAAGTAAAAAAACTAGTAAAAGATAAGTAAAAGACTAGTAAAAGATAAGTAAAAGATTAGTAAAAGACTAGTAAAAGATAAGTAAAAGATAAGTAGAAGATAAGTAAAAGATAAGTAAAAGATACTTTTCTCTTGTTTTTTTTTTTTTTTTGCAAGCTTTTATTTAACTCACTTCCTCGTCAGTTTGTCGTCAGTCGTCAGTCTGTCTAGATCGAAACGCCCGAGCAAAATTGCAGGCACTTCTGACAGATACGGTTCGTAGTTGGTACGTGGGTCAAGACATGAAGACAATGCAACATGACATTCAATTTGACTTAATTGGTTGCCTGATTATTTTTTTATAAATTAATTAAAATTTTGTCCAAATTAGTAAACTGGCTCATCAAACTATTCCGCGCTATTAGACACGCGTCATCACGTTCAATAGGGCGTCGTCACGTTCAATAGGTGCGCAATGGTTTTTAGTCATGTAACTCTATTGTAAACTAGACTACCCGTCATCCGTTGGATAACTGTGGGTTTCGGGGGTCATCCATCAAAAAAAAACATCACGTATGTCACTCAGAGGCATAGCAACCCTTCCCGGCGCCCGGGGACAAACTTTTCGATTTGAACCCCCCCCCCCCCCCCGCAGGATCTCGATTTGCAACCCCCCCCCCCAAACTTTTGATGAGAACCCCCCCCCCTCAAGATTTCGATTTGAACCCCCCCCCCCCCCACTCAAACTTTCAATTTGCACCCCCTCAACCTTTCAATTTATTTTTCCAACCCATTTTGGCGCCCCCTAAGGTCGGCGCCCGGGGACATATGTCCCCCTCCTCCTCGCTACGCTACTGCAGTGTCACTTATCGTCACAAAAAGCAGACCCCACATTCAAAAATATGTTTTTTATCTTTTAAAAACACCGAATTCGGACTATCCCTTCATATACTGACGTCACAGGTGACCTACTCAACTCTACTTCACCTGCCCAGTGTCCCGCCAAGTCTCAGACAACATGTTTTTATCGTTTAAAAAACTATTCCAGCCGAGCATGTCTCTGACCACACTATCCCTTCATATGCTTAGGACAAAGAAACAGATGAACCCTACTTCACCTGCCCTGTGCCCCGCGAGGTCCTGATAGTCAACCTTATCATTCACATATAGGGCTTAAGAAAAAATAATTGAAAACGTAAAAAAAAAAGTTCTATTAATTTTTATGACACTGACTTTAAAATTTAGCCTTCATTCTCCAAAGCAAATTTTAAAATGCTTTTCTGGCATATCTAGCCCTGGCCACCTATACCATGTTTAAATAATGTGAACACCCGCCATTTTGCTCGTGGTAAACATGGCCTAAAAATGATCGGCAGACATGCGTCCGGTCCGGACGCCATATTGTTGTTAGCAGCCGACCACGCCTCCAAGTTAGTGAGTAATCCTACTATATCTAGATATAGAGTCCTTGCAAACACGTGACCTAAATCACGTGATACCTACGCCCGCCGCCACAGTGGTGTACATCAGACGTAAACACAATCAGCTGATATAATCCATGGGTAATAACCAATCTGGGTAGCATGTTATACAATTTAAGACCCTTATAATCCAGCAGGGAAGTAATCAGACACATTAATACTGACGTTCAACCCTCATGATGGCTGCCCCCATCTGTATCTAGCCCACAATAAAACCTAAGAGGTCTGCCCTGCCCTCCCCTGAAAATGTCTCACCTCCGTGATACCCAGCCCCACAGAGATAGTATTTCTTATATAATTTTGACCCTCAGGGCCCAGCAGGGAGAACAAAGGGGAAAGTCCCACTGCTCTCCCCTCAACACTTCTCACCTCGGTGTCATGTTATGTCATTTATAGCACACATGGCTTATCAGGGGAAAGCATTAAGGCATTAAGAATCTTAACTCTGGACAGCTACACACTAGTATACTAGCTACACACTAGGTGCCTACTGTAAACTACTAGACTGTAGGCCCTATGTAGACCTGCAATTGTATCAATTGTAGACTGGGTCCATTGTTATTATTCTAAACCATCTCACTTATGTTTCTAGCTTGATTTGTTTCTTTTATAAACAGTGGATTTTCCATTTCAATTTCAGAAAATTTCGTTTGCTAAAAAAATGATTAGATAATAGAGCGAGATTTTAGATCTTAGAGACAATTAAATGCTTTATTAGGCCTATTATGACTACTTTTGATTTATTATGGGTGTATTTTGAATCGAATGTAGATCTAAAGTAATTAAATTTAAGTAAAGAAGTAGATTCTAGATTCTATGTCTACCCAGCGGACCCAGGTATTAGGCCTACTATTAGATCTTATTATTCTTATTATTACTTTTGACTTTGTCTTTTACTATTAGTATTTGTGAAGGTCGAGCATATTTGTTTTATTAATAGTTATCTTTTATAATTACAATGAAGTTTATTATTTTACTGTCCTTACCTGAAACAAAGTATCGAGAACTGCATTTGATCAGATTCGGCTACTTTAACTCTAAACGCAAACAGTATTACTAACAGTATTTTTATTTAGAAATTTTGTCCACATATTTATTTATACGAAACTGTCAATAACAGTATAAGGATCTTCAATTCCTAAGAGTTCAAGTTTTTTAACGTATTTTTCCTTTTCCGCGGCGCGATTCTTTACATACGGTGAACACGTCCAGCGCTGGTGAACACGTCCAGCGCTGGCGAACAGCTGATTGTGTTTACGTCTGGTGTACACCACTGTGGCGGCGGGCGTAGGTATCACGAACGGACGTGACGTCATATGAAAGGACTCTATAGAACCTAGATTTTAAAAAATCCCATGTATTCTCGAATTAGATGATCATTGAAGCTAAACAAAGATTTATATAAAATAATTAAGGCCTGAAATAGATTCTAGATGTAGAATTTACATTAAGTCTAGATCTAGAATTTACATTGAGTCTAGTGACCTAGATCTAGGCTAGATCTAGATCTAGAATCTACGCTAGGCCTAAACTGGTAATCTATCGTTTTAGGTACGTAAAATCGCCCGCGACTTGTAATGTGAAAAACAGGTGACTCCTTAAATTTTAATAATTATTTCACATTTTGAGGAGGATTTATGTTTTTTAAAATACAAACATGTTTCCTTGTTTCATTTATGTACCTGTTTTTAAACTTTTTCATAATAAATGAAGACTAGCGATGTTTCCCACAGATGCAACCATGCTCATTTACTATAGCAGCCATCTTGTTTAAGTTTTATTTTTATAAGCTTATAGCGCAAATTCAGGGGGAAGCCACTCTATTTTACAAATGGCTGCTGTTTATATAGCAAATCTTGCTCTCAAACACTGCTGTTCAAAGTTATTTTCTGGCCTACATTGATAAAAAAAATTTTATATTTAGCGATTGATTTTGGTTTATTATTCATTTATCTATAATATTTGACACAAACATATGACAATAAACTTCTATTAAATAGTATTAAAGCCTTGACAATGAGGTAACGTTTTCGTACATTTATAGCCGCGGGCGATTTTACGTACCCAAAACGATAGATTACCGCCTAAACTTTCCTTCGACAGCTGATCTTTAGATCTAGAGAAATTTATTGTAAAACTAAATGAAAAAAGACAGTTTAAAATTGATATAAGTGTTGGAACGTAATAAATACAGCAAACGGACGTATTGTTTAAGTTATAGCCGGCAGAAAATTAGCTTTGTAACACGTTAAACTTTTGAATGGGCCACAAAGTCTATGATGGAGTCCGCCATTTTTATTGTACCAAAAAGTAAACACATCAAGGGACGTCACTATTCCCACAAAGTTTAGTCAATGTTTTAACATTTTTAAAAAAAGTGGTTAATATACATATGAATAAATCAATTAATTAATTAACGTCTTTAAATAAATTTGTGATTAACAGTCTGTCTGCATTAAAAAATTATTCTCTACCTACATACTATTTTACAGCTCTCCAGATAGAGTCGAACATATCACAATAGTCAATCAGCCAAACAAACAAACAAAAAAACAAATAAATATTCAAACATGTAAACAAACTTGACTTTTAGTAGTATATAGATAATACATGTAAAGTACTCAAAAAATTTCATAAAAACGTTGTAATGACCAGCTTTTATGTAATAATGCACTGAAAAGGAGAAAATAAATTATAGACTACTATTTAAATTACTATAAAGAAAAGCGTGGGTCTCTTCTCAAATATTAGTAAAATAGATACTTAAGTGACCCATGCTTTTCTTTGTAGTAATTTAAATAGTAGTCTATAATTTATTTTCTCCTTTTTAGTGCATTATTACATAAAAGCTTGTTATTAAAACATTTTATGAAAAAAAGTGTTTAATTAATCAACGTTTCTTTTATAAAGCACTGATTGTCTATTGTTTATGTTCATTTGTTTTTTTCTACGTGATTCTATTCAATTTTTTTTATGCATAAAAACGTTTTAACAACACGCGTTTATGTAATAATGCACTAAAAAGGAGAAAATAAGTGATTTTCTTAAATATATTATAATACACCGCTATTTAAATAACTATAAAGAAAAGAGGGGGTCACTATAAAATGTATTGAATACTTTTACTAGACCCCCTCTTTTCTTTCTAGTTATTTAAATAGTGATGTATTATAATATATTGAAAGAAAATCATTTATTTTCTCCTTTTTAGTGCATTATTACATAAAAGCTTATTATTAAAATGTTAATACAATACAGTTGCAAAACAAAAAATCAAAACGAAAAATTTGCTTAAAATAGCGCCGTGGATAGTATTTTATACGAGCCGACCCGCTGCGTATCATACGCCGCTATTTAGTTGTTTTTTTTCTACTTTTCAGTAATTTATAATTTGTGAATTTGACAGTACCAATGCTACCATTGAAAATATTTGCTTAAAAACACTACCCCCCCCCCCCCCCCCACGTGAAAGCAGCGTCCTCTTAGTTACCTCCTCTAAGTTTAAAATCGTTTCAAACTAAATTATCTGCCCCTAATAGCCGTCACCAAACCCGTCTCTGTGATTGTAAAATGTAAACAGAGTGAACACCGCTCACCAGATCATGTGGGGGTGGGGTGGGGGTGGTAGTGATAGTGATAGAGAGGAAGAGAGGGGACTGCAAAGGCGCGCTTGCAGCTTGTTTTCTAACTGATCCCAGAAGAGAATTATATATATAGATTGGAAATTTTAATTAATTCTTTAAAATTTAATTAAGCATCCACATTAGTCAAATTTATTTTGACCCACGCTTTTCTTGCTAGTTATTTAAATAGTAGTGTATTATTATATATTTAAAGAAAATAATGCTTGTTATTAATTAAACGTTTTTTTTTTCAAATCTCAATACTTTAAAATTTTAATACAATAGAATAACAGGACTAAAAACTATTGCGCACCAAATGTACACAAGGAGCGTATTGTGTCGCGGAAATTTAGTACTTTACGTTGGAAACGTTAATTAATTCTTACAAATTAATAGTGCATCAAATTCATTCAAATCGATGACATATTATTGCAGTATAATCGGTGTTGGAAAGAAATTGGTCCTTTAGAAGTGGTCGAAATTTCTCTCACCAGTTTCGATCTACGGCGAAGCACGACAGAGGAAGCAAGTTAAACAAAAGTTTGTAATAACGTTTTAATAACAAGCTTCTATACAATTATTCACTAAAAGGAGAAAAGAAATAATTTTCTTTAAATGTATAATAACGCACCACTATTTAAATAACTGTCAAGAAAAGCGTGTGCCTATAGGTTGATTACAAAATTTTATTTTGACCATGTGTTCCCATTGGTTAGTTACCCAAATGTTCCCATTGGTTAGTTACCCACATGTTCCCTTTAGTTACCGAAATACCTGAACTGACCTGGATGTGAGCCCACTGTTTGAGCCAGAGGGTGAGGAGAACAATCTGCCACATGTTTGAACGACCAGATGTAGTTCTCATTTCTCCTGTTAAAAACAAAATGCCAGACATTCATCACTTTCTTTGATCTAACTCACACTTCTGCTGAAGTCACGCGTTATACCCCCACCTCTGCATTACACACACACATAGGTATAAGTGTATATATATATATATATATATATATATATATATATATATATATATATATTTAAATATATATATATGTATATACAGAGCCGGCGTTAGGGGGTGACAAACGGGGCGGTCGCCCCATGCCCCGCGCCTGAAGGGGCCCCGCGCTTCAGCACTGTCACTGTTATCTGAATTAGTTTGTAAACTTAAAAAAATTGTTGCTGAATTCAATTGGGAATAACTAAATGGTCGAATGCCGACGTTATAACTGAGGCCACGATTAATGTGAGTGAGTTACCACCCACCTGAACTGGGAAAGGCCGTAATTCGATACAAAAACAGTGTCACACCTCCCCTTTGTGTAGGGTACGGTCGCCTTGCATTTGACCTGAGCTGACTGGAGATGGCGGTCGAGAATTAGCCCCGGACCTGACATAGGATGTAAATTTGGGAAACACGTAAAGAGATACCCTATAGTATGCGGACCAATGAAGACGTCTTTTTAGTGAGAAGACTGGATGTCTGTAGCAGACGACAGTTAGTGACCTGATGAAAGCTAGCCCTGACTTTCTTGTTGTAGATGTCCTATATCTAGGCCTACTTGTCTTGGTATAACAAAATTAACATTCAGTTGCGTGCAGATGGGTGGGAGGAGGGCGATGAGGGGGGGGGCTTAGGATCTATATCAGGGGGCATTAAACAGAGTGATTTATTATTATTTTTTGGAAGAAATTTAAAACTGTTGTTATGTTGTGTCATCTTAAAGATTCATCCGTTCCAAGACAGAATGATTAATTTACCGAATTCATCCAAATTGTTTTATTCAATCGTCTTCCAGTGGTGCTCACATGATATAGTCAGCGAATTGTCCTCGTCGCACAACTTTGATTAAGGAAGGGGCATCGTTGAGGCATTGGGGGGTTGTGATTTAGTAATCATTGATATTCCCCCAATAAACGCGGTCTTTCAATTTATATCTAATACTTTGATGAACTTAACGGCATTTGTAGAGTGAGTAAGCACATTTTTATTATAGGGAAATCCTTTACAATAGTTAAGACAATAATGATTTTGGTTTTAAAATATTGTATGGATTCTAAACAAATTTTGAAGTCTATACTGTTTTGATACCTCAGGCCGAGTTCGCTGTATTGTAAACTTGTCTTGATTTCTCACACGTCTAATCTAAAGTACTTACATTCACGACAGCCCGAGTATGCCGTCGCAAAACTCATAAATAAGGTGTAGCTGACTGTCACTTTCTAATTATAGACACGAACCTTCTCTTGTGTGACCGTGATCATGATCGGTAATGTAATACCCAGTAATACGTGGACGCTCTATAAACACAAACCTTGTTTTGAATGACTCCAGTCAGAGATCCATTAACGAAGTACTTGAACTTGGTGACCCTTTTTTTAGGGTATGGCATCCCATAGTCATAGATTTCAATGCACAGTTATCCTTTACCAGAGGCGTAGCGACCCTTCCCGGCGCCCGGGGACAAACTTTTCGATTTGCACCCTCCCTTAAGATTTCGATTTGCACCCCCCATACATATATTGTGGATATCCATAAACCTAGAGTTTATTTTCACGATTTGTAACAGTTGTTTAATCACGATTCGAGCTAAGTCCAAAAGCTATCAGTGTTTTTCTATTTCTTTTCATTTTAATTACTTAAGTTTTGTTGATTTTGTAATGTGTCTAAAATTCTGTGCTTACTAATACTCTCTTTTTTTTAGATACACCTAAAACGCATGACTTTTATATTAACTACTAGGCATACTGCCCAGCTTCGCTTAGACTTTCGAAAACATTGAGAATTTGAATGCTTAATTAATTCGCCCGAGGGTCGGTCTACGACCTTAGGAGTTATGAAGAGGTTCCTCCGTGGACATTTTTTTTTCAATTTATAGCTCATATAAGGCACCGGTCAGTCAAGGTCAGTTTTGACCCCCTCATTGTAGACTTTTCGGCCAACTGGCCCCCGTGTTCTGTCCCCCCAAGGCAAGATCCTGCCAAATTTGAAGCGCCTGCGGCGCCGGGAAGTGCCCTCTCGGGCACCCGACAACTTTGCTTTATATATTATAGAGATTAGCAAATTGCATAGATAAACAAAGATTTCAATAAAGTAATTAAGCCCTGAAATACTTTAGTATAGAAATGTATTGTTTGAATAGATTCTAGATTTAGGTAGGGTCTACATCGGGGTAAGTCTAGTTTTTCCGTAGATCTAGATCATCTAGATCTAGAATCTCTAGATCTAGATGATCTAGAATCTCTAGATCTAGATGATCTAGAATATCTAGATCTAGATGATCTAGAATATCTAGATCTAGAATGCTAATAGAATTATTTCTTTTAAGTTTAGCCCGAGCAAAATTTAAAATATTGATTACCAAATTTGACTTGGTGTGTCTCGAACCCGCACCACCTGCGTGGTTTTAAGTACACTATCATCTCAGCTATTTAGGCACCTTATATAACACAGAGAATGAAAGACGTATTTTAAAATCTTAACTTACGCGAATATGCCTATTCTTTCAAATTAATTTTTTTATCCCAAATTATTCAGTTCCAAACAAAGATTTTGTATAAAATAATTAAGTCTTGAAATAGTTTAGTCCTAATATAGAAATTTATTTTTGGAATAGATTCTAGAGTAGTTAGAGTCTAAATCTAGATCTAGATCTTAGCGTCTACGTCTAGTTATTGCGTAGATTTAGATCTAGTCTAGATCTAGAATCTCTAGATCTAGAATCCAAATAAATAAAATAAATTTTATGAGTTTAGGCCGGAAAAATTGTATTGTATACATTTCATAGTGTACGTAGATCTAAATCAAATTTGAATGAAATAGTTCATTTCTTTTTATTCTAAACATGACAGATGACGTCATTAGTTTATGTATAAACATTAGTGACGTCACAGTTTTATGCGTTCTTTTTCACATCTATAAATGCTTTTCCTGTTGCATAATTAAAATTGTTTTTCTACATTCGAATACACCTTTATTTTTTTATTTTTCTTCTTTAAATAAAATTGTGGTTATACATTTAAAACATCTAACATATTATTTTCAACAAAAGTCCGTATATCGGTATCCATATATCGCTGCCGATTCTGACGTGATGTCCGGCGAAAATATTTTGCGGACAGAGAGAGGGCGAGAAGAGCGCACATGGCCTTTTATATATTAGGATTAGTCATTAACAAACAATTTAAACAACTTTATTTTCCTAATTATGTGGCACGTGATTGATTTGCCTAAGTGATTTAACTGTCAAAAGTGATTTAATATCTTAGCAAGGAAAAAAACTAAGAACATTGGGTTAAAACATGGAAGAGATAAACATCTGTTATTAAAGTGGAAAGTTTGGCATTAGCTTATAAACTCCAAAACATTTATTTGTTATTATGTGTGCATGCATATTATATAGGCCTATATATACATACATATATATATATATATATATATATATATATATATATATATATATATATATATATATATATATATATATATATATATATATATATAATGGAAAAAAGCAGGCCCCGCGCGGATGGTTGGCCCTAGGCCCCACGTATTCCTAACGCCGGCTCTGTATATATATATATATATATATATATATATATATATATATATATATAATATGCATACCAACTGCCATCACCTCTTAGAGACATTGTTTACATAAAACCGATACTCACTCTCAGTCTACCTCTCACTTAAAAAGAAAGGTTGTATTATTAAAATATATAATGTGTTTTAAAAGAAAGGTTGTATTATTAAAATACATAATGTGTTTTAAAAGAAAGGTTGTATTATTAAAATACATAATGTGTTTTAAAAGAAAGGTTGTATTACTAAAATACATAATGTGTTTTAAAAGAAAGGCTGTATTACTAAAATACATAATGTGTTTTAAAAGAAAGGCTGTATTACTAAAATACATAATGTGTTTTAAAAGAAAGGTTGTATTACTAAAATACATAATGTGTTTTAAAAGAAAGGCTGTGTTGTTACAACATTGCAATTGTTTACTCCCAAACAGAGCCTCGTTCTAGTTTGTTTTTGTTTTCTTTGTTTGTTTGTTTGTTGTTTTTTTTCTTTTTTTTTGTGTTAAAAACGTATATGAATCCCCATAATTTATTTTATAATTCAAAAGTTCACACATTTTTTGTGAGTTTTGCAAAAGTTAGATATATAGTCTCGTGGTGCCATTATGTTTAAGGTCAAGGTCACCAAATATGTTTTAGTGATCACCTTTGTTAATTGAAATATTTCACAATTTTATTTTCAATTTTTTTTTATTTATTTTTTCACAATTTTTTTTCAAGTTAGATCTATTTATGTTCACTTTAGTTTTGTTTATAGTGTGGTCAACTAATGTTATTGAATATATTGTTTTTATTTTAAATTATTTTAATTTTTTTATTCTAAATTATTTTAATTTTTTTTTCCAATTTACATTAAAATTAAATTTAGTTTACATGCATATTTTCTCTTCAGTTTCATATCGACATTCACGGAATTTTTTTTCTGCTAAATTAAACGCCAATATTTTTATTTGGGGATGTGTGATTTACATAATAAAATACTGAGCTAAGTTTTAGAAGATTTTGTTCATGTTATTAAAGATTCTTGCTACATTTTCGATTCTTTATGAATTTATAACATAAAGTGTGAAAGTTGAACTTAAATAGAAGAACGTCACGAAGACACGACCTACCAGTCTAGGAATCCTTGCACAATGACGTGCTGGGAATACCACGGCTATTTTTAGCTGGGGAATTATCGGGGGGTTTTTTTTAGTCTCAAGTAAAACAGCATTTAGGTCTACTGCGTTGTTTATACACATACGCACACCCCCACACACCCCCACACACCCCCACACACCCCCACACAGTCATACATACATATATATATATATATATATATATATATATATATATATATATATGTATATGTATCTATCTATATATATATATATATCTATATATATATATAAAAAGCAATGTATGTGTGTCTGTCTGTGTGTCTGTTTGACCTGTATGCATTACTACACCTCTCATCACATCGCGGTGAAACTTTGGGAAGTTGTTGAGAATATTCCTGGGGAGGTTTCTGCGAAAAAAAATTTTCAAATTCGCAGGGGTGGCGCCCCAGCAGGGCGCGATTTGTTTTTCTCTATATACGGTATTTAAAAATAAAAAGTCGATTTTGGTTTGACAGCGTTCACCCGATAGCCATGAGACTTTTGGGAGTTCATAATAACACTCTAAGGAAGGGTTCTGTACAAAAATCATTTTTAATTTCGCAAGGGCGGCGCCACGGGAGGGTGCGATTTTTTTCAATATACGGTATATAAAAATAATAAAAGTGAATTGCCGTGACATCGTTCACACGATCGCCATGAAACTTTAGGAGGTTGTTGAGAATACTCCTGGGGAGGTTTCTGCGAAAAAAAAGTATTTCAAATTCGCAGGGGTTGCGCCCCGACAGGGCGCATTTGCTTTTTTCTATAAACGGTATATAAAAATAAGGTCGATTTTGGTTTGGCATCGTTCATCCGATAGCCATGAGACTTTGGGGAGTTCATTATACTACTCTAGGGAAGGGTTCTGTAAAAAAAATTTAATTTCGCAAGGGCGGCGCCACGGGAGGGTGCGATTTTTTTTCAATATACGGTATATAAAAATAAAAGTCGATTTTGGTGTGACACCGTTATGCGTAATCATGAGACTTTAGGGGAGTTGATTAGAACAATTCAGGGAAAGGTTCCGTAAAAAAAAATCCTTTTTTAATTTCGCAAGGGCGGCGCCACGGGAGGCTGCGATTTTTTTCTATATACGGTTTATAAAATGTTGGTTTCACACCGTTCATCCGTGTACCATGAAACTTTGGGGAGATGATTAGATCACTCAATAGTAGCGTTCTGCAAAAAAATATTGTTTAATATTGCAAGGGCGGCGCCCCCCGGGGGGGGAGCGATTTCTTTTTCTCTATACACGGTTTATAAAAAATAAAACTCGGATGCGGTTCATCCGAATACTATGAAACTTTAGGGAGTAGACGAGAATACTCCCGAGAATATTTCTGCGAAAAACAAAACTTAAGTTTCTTATGGGCGGCGCCATATAGGGTACAACTTTCGGTAATACACGGTTTGGCGCCCAGAGTTTTAGAGCGACTATGTTGGCACTTGGCATCCGTTAATCGAGCGTCCTGCATAGCGAGTAAGGGGTACTACTATATTCAGCGGTAAAACAACAACAGGCTTCAAAATAATAACTTTGTAACGCGAGGAAATCCTGTACAGTTTCTTCACCTTGCGAAAGATGAAAAAATAACTTTTTTAATATGAGGAGCCTACTGTAGAGTTTTGTCACTTTGCGAATGATGCAATAAGCATCTATTATTAGACGATCCAGTCAGAAATTGAGATCGAGCATCTAATAATAGACCATTAGTAACGCTAGCATATTGCATCAGTCACACTGATGTTTAAAACACGTCAAATAATTTTTTTACGTGTTAAAGAAAAAATTTCTGTTCATTTGTGTCACTTTAGCGAATGACGAAATCTGCATCATTATTAACAGGATGCTATTGGCACGCTGGGTTATCCTATGAGCACGATGGCGCCTGTTAATTTTAAGGAGCCAGGGGCCGTACGCTGTGCCTATGCGGTAGTGTAATCGGGGGGTGGGGGCTCCTGAGAGCGCCCCTCTACGTCCGTGACACATGGGCGGTCACCGAAGTGTGTTCTACCTCATTATTTCTGTGAGTGATTAATGTACACTCAAGGTTTTCATGCGGTGGTGTAGGAAAACCCGTGTCCCGATAATAATTATCCAAGCGCAAGCATTGTTTACATTTAAATAACACAGTTTTAGAAAAGTAGGACACGCGTTTAAGAACATATGATTGGTAATGCATTGGTGATATCCTTCTAATATATTTCGTCAGACTTTCTTCTATCCCCGCGGCAACGCGCGGGGGTCGGGTACGCTAGTATGTATATATATATATATATATATATATATATATATATATATATATATATATATATATATATATATATATATATATATATATATATATATATATATATATATATATATATATATATATATATGTGCAACGTGGCGCAGCTAGGCTTTTCGGGTTTTAATGCAAACAATTCCTGTGACTCCTGCTACAACTAAGTTCAACGATGGCCAGAGGCGTAGCGACCCTTCCCGGCGCCCGGGGACAAACTTTTCGATTTGCACCCCCCCCCCCCCTTTCAAGATTTCGATTTGCACCCCGCCCTCAAACTTTTGATTGCACCCCCCCCCCCTCAAAATTTTGATTTGCGCCCCCTCAGCCTTTCAATTTATTTTTCCAACCCATTTTGGCGCCCCTAAGGTCGTCGCCCGGGGACATATGTCCTCCCCCCCCCCCCCCCCGCCCCCCGTCCCTTCGCTACGCTACTGACGATGGCAGCGAAAAAGTATTCACAACAACTTCCCAAAGTTTTGTGTCGATTAGATGAATGCTGTATCAATTCATGATTGAACGACCAAAAGATTATAATTGGCTTGAAAAGATGGGGCCAAATGGTTTTAATTTTTCTTGCCAGAAAGCGTTTTTTTTTTACCAAAATTAAATATTTTATATCATTTGTGTAGTAAGGGCAACATTACTTCCCGTTTTATCAAGGCTAGAGATAGTCAAACAAATAATTACTAGTAGTATAATAGTAACTACGCAAACACGTTTTTTTGTAGTCAGTGTGATTGGGGAAGTTATATAATTTAATATAAATAAAATGCTACGCTATACACCATAGACCACTATTGTGTATTTTATCATGGAAAACATTTGTTCTTAGTTTACTCTCCCTGGCCGAT